GTAGTGTCTTTTGATTAGGATTAGTCAGTTTATTGATACTTTAGGTCAAGTTATACATTTAGCACGTACTAATAGCGGCCAAGGAGCTGATAAGTACTCACATACACTTAAGTTTTATGAACAATAACAATATTTCTGCAGTTTGATGGTATTTAATCATCATCATCTTAGCCGGAAGACATACAGCATAGACATATTGTTGGACATAGGCCTCAACTAAGATTCGCCACATCAACCGGTCCTGTACTGCCTGCACCTTCACCAGGTCGTTGGACCACCTTGTTTTTAATTTTTTTAAATCATACAGCATACACAGTGTTGTATCGACGAGTCCATACTGCTGAGGAATCTGGTCAAAGCGCAGAGATTTTCGTGTACAACATATTACCTACGCGTGACAAAATTTTTGAATGTGTCAAAAGAATACTTTCTACGTATGAATTTCGTTTTAAGCACGTTAACGCCGGTCATCAGCGCGCTGTCGTCGGTGAATGAAAAATACGCCTTGTGTAAAGGCCCTAAAATATTGAAGGGAATGAAGTTTTAATACCTAATTTCTTATGTTTTTCTTTTGTTTTGATTAATGCGACAGCAATCCACTGCCCGTGGGGAATCCCGAACAAAAACATACGCCCCACCAAAGGCGCCCTTCGAACTGACTAAAAGTCTAATCCGGCTCGAGGACCATGAACAAATCCTTTGTTCAGGGATTCAAGCGTAAACAGAGTAAGGGTTTACTAGTAGTAAAATAACCAAATTCTATTTACGGTGTTAACCGAGTATATTTAAAGTAACACAATAGCAGGGTTTCGAATAAAAATAGACGTGTACACGAATTGAACAGCGCCATCTAGTGACGGTAATGAAAATTACAAAAGATAAAAATTGCGTACAATAACCTGCTTGTACATTGTCCTTCCTTTATTTAAGTGGCATGTATTCTCAATAATATTATTGAGCATAAAAAAGACTGGAATATTTTCTACTTATTTATTTTACCTGGCGATTAAAAAGAGTAACCGCGAGTTTGTTTTCTTTTCAAAATCTCTTTTACAACATTACATTACATATCTTTCACACAAAAACATCGTTTTTTTTTTAATTTTATGTATGACAACCTGTGTGTGTTGCAGTAATTTTGTGTATATTGAATTTTTTATGAAGTATATTATTATATTTAAATAATAATGAACGATATGGAATACCGATGTGTTCGGTTTTATGAAGTAAATGTATAATGTCAAGTCTGTTAATATAACTACTAGAAGACTAGAAGTAACTATAGGGTGGTGTGACGTCATAATAGGTATGCAATTTAGTGTCATTAAACACTCGAGTCTTCGTATGTAGCTATTACATACTATATATAATATTACTTATATATGTATATGTAGAAAAAAACTTCTAAGTACACCGACGGAGCTCAAAATTTTGACACGATAAATAGACCACTTCAAAGATTGTTTTTATTTTGATTTATTTATTTCAATTCTTTGTGCACAAGTATGAGTTGTACAATGGCGGACTTAATGCCAAACGCATTTTCTCCTAGTCTACCTTAGGGTGGTGCTGAAATGTGTGCCTAGGTGCACTAGACAATGATATGTAAAGCAAAAAATTCGCATCAGTTTTATCCTCGTTTCTCATCAACGCAACAATGTGCCACAGCGAAGCGTACCAAGGTACAGACAGTACTTGATAATAATAGGTCTTTACCTATGAAATTGCCGTTTTGTATGCAATAAGTGAAAGTACTTATTTTATCAAACTTTTTTATTTCTGTTATTCGAAGTAATCACCCATGCAATCGACGCATCTTTGCCAACGCATTGGCAGTTTATTGATGCCCTTCTTGTAAAAATCAGCTGGACAGCAACAAACTCTTCAAAGGCATTTTGTACTGCCTCTCGGGAATTTTATTTTATTTTTTATTTTATTTTATTTATTAGGGACAAAAAACAGTTATACAATGCAGTCTTTACAATTGATTTAGCATTTACATATTTAAAACGTATAACCCACACTATTGTCCACGAGTTTACAGATAAAGTAGAAAAGGTAACGGACGCGCACTATACACAATCGGTGAATTACATGTAATAATATAAGATAGATAGGTAGTTAACTGAGAATGTTATCATAGATCAGCAAGAATTTCAGTGGCAAATTTTTTAAATTTAGAGTGAGTGAGAGCGAAAATATCCAAGCTCGTAGCATGTGAGTTGTACGTTGTCAATAATCGGCGAAGAGGTGCACGCTCTCCAGCATTAGTTCTACACTTCTCCGTGTAGAATAACCGAGGTACGCGCACCTTCCTCCGAATGACAGACCTGGGTACTACATAACATAGCCTGTTTGATAATTCTGTACAATTATACTTGTTATTGCATATGCCGTACAGCATCATTAACATTAGTAAGATGCGTCTATGCTCCAAGCTTAAGAGCTTAAAATGTTTCAGAAGATCCACATAAGGAATCTTAGCATGAAAACATTTGTAATAAGTAGTACGAAGAAATTTTTTCTGTACCATTTCAATCCTCTGCTTATATTTCTTATAAAAGGGGCTCCAAATGGGTACAGCATACTCTAACTGGGAACGGACTAGTGCTTTATATAGGAAAAGGTAGGTAGTGGGCTTTTTGAAGTCTTTACAGGAGCGCATGACTGATGATGGAATTGAATTTTTTACCCACTAAAAAGTTGTCTAAATTTTGGAAAAAGTAATAGTCGGTAGGTGCAAGGTCTGGTGGTCACATCTGTAACCAGCTTTGGTCAATCGGTCGTCCCCACTGCTCCTTTACGACAACGCGCGACCCCATACTGCGCAACAGACAGTCTCCAAGCTGCAAGAGCTTTGGTTGGAAGCTCTCCCTCATCCGCCATACTCACCAGACATAGGTAAAGACCTAATATTAGAAATGAATAATTAAGTGTTAAAAAAGATCATCGATTGCAATGCGCAAACATCATGATGGTTTGTAATAAACTGGATTCATTTCGACTTCTTCATTACGACTGCACGGGCAGCGTAGTGGTTTAAGCGGTCGCCTCGCTGCTTCTAACGGCACTGAGTGTTGTAGGTTCTATCCCCACACAGGACAGCACTTTATTTGTGTTTGTCTCTTCCAATTATTGTTCTGAGTGTGGTTGTCCTTTGTGTCTGTTTCATGTATGTTTGTCCCCCGCGAAACACGGTATATTTCTAGTGCAGGAGTTGTCTTTAAAAATAAATTACAGTAAAAAAAAACAAAAAAAAACATGCTTTTATAACTAGACGAATAAAATGATCTCATTTTGAAGTTATAGAAAAAGTTTTTTAGTTCGTCTAGCTACAAAAGTATGTTTTTTAGTTTTTTTAACTTGATCAATTTGGCTGATTGGGATAATCAGCCAAATTGATCAAATTATTGTATTGTCATCGGTCCTTGATTAGTGTGCGAAGTTTCAATTTAATTCGACGTTTTGAAGTGGGTCAAAATCACGTTCCAAGAATCCGTTACAGACATACATACTTATGTAGATACATACATACATAGATACATATATACATTTATACATAGCTCATATAAAAGCGAGTTAAAAAAGAGATAGCTTTATTTTTTACTCTTAGGTTTGCCTTTTTTCCACGTCCAAATAAGAGATATACCTATCCTTCCAAATAAAAAAAAAATATACAAATAGGTTTACTCGTATAGGAATATATTACGAAAGACTGAGTTCTGAGGTTACAAACACAAAAAAAAGTTGTCGGTTTTGTAAAATTACAACTATCAAGTGATGTAACTGTGTGTTAGCTAGGCTGCGGGTATAGCGAAATTATAAGCGTTCTTTGCTGAGTCTAAGAAAATCTTGAAAACCTTCAAAACTAGAATATATAATAAATAATATAAATCTTTATTGTACGAATAATGAAAAATGTGTAAGATAATATAAACAGTAAGATAAAACAGTATTATGTGGCTAATGCAATCTTAGGCCTTATCTCTCTTGTATCGTTCATAGGCAAATATGGGATGCAAATAAAACATTGGATATTAATATGGTGCATATAAGTACATAAATAATAACAACAAAATGCATAGGTCAATATAGATAAAGAGATACATACAACGTGTTAGTGTTGTGATAGATACGTGATAGGAGATACGACAGAGATAGGTGTGACAGAAGAATACGGAGTGTCACCACGTTCTATTCATCATCGTCGTAAGAGGCGACTGAGAGAGCAAACTCTGCAAAACAACAGCACTGCAAAGAGAAGAAAAACTTTAAACAAATAAACTTGATAAACCTTTACCAAGCCGTCTGGCCAGTGAATAGTAGGCCAAAATCTTTTTCTATGAAGCCTATGTCCAACAGTGGACTATTAAAGGCCGTTGATGATGCTAGTGTTAGTTAGTATTAGATGAAAAATAACTTCTTGGATTTGTTTTCATAGTCAATGACACGACTACTGGCTGCTAAGGTTTTTTCGAGATTGTTGCCACACCCGTCATGTTATAGTGATATGAACATGACCATTTGTTATGTGGCTGGCTGTAATTTTTTATGACATTTGTGGGTAAATAAGCAGACAGGTCACCGTAACCTTTTGACAACTGCAACTTAAGTCACAAGTGGGTTGCTGCCATTAGAGCTTTTAGAATCCAGGGATGGGTTGGGCTCGGTTACGTTACTTACTCGTTAAAAATCAATGAAAGAATTGATTAACACCAATTTTTATATCTATAAATATATATTCATAATAAACAAATATATAAAAATATACATACATTACATATATGTATGTATATTTTATTTAGTAATTTTGATTTGATTTTCATTTTGCTGTTTAATAGCAATATACCATACCATTGCACAGGTCTGCCTACTTTGGGATCAGACGACCGTGCGTAAAATGTGGAAAGTTATGTGACAAATCCCAAGTGACGCCAATAATAAAAGCCAGTCTTAATTAATTGTTCCTTTATTTAAAACAGTAATAAATATCATTACAGAAGAAATCTATCAGCCCCTGGAATTGCCAGAGGTGATTGGGATCATTGCAAGACTTTTGATACAAATTGGTCACGAATCTTGGAGACGTTGATACCGCCGCCAGATGGTACGCCTACTATACCATGCCAGTATGGTTGGGAGTTCGAGTTGAGTGATATACCTTATGAAACTGTTACTTCTGAAGTGAGTGTTCATATTTTCATTGACAGATAACATAAAATGTCCCTTAAAGAATATAAACTTTATTCAAACACATCGAGGTTTCTTTTTGGAGTTCTATTTTTGTGAGTTATCTTTATGTATTTGATGACCATTAAAATGGGAAGTTTAAACACTAACAGTACTTGTCTTTGGCATTCTATTTTTAAAAGAATTAAAAAAAGAACTATACATTTAACTTATTTATTTGAATTATGACCGTTTCTATTTTCGATTTTAGAAATTTCATGTTCTCTCATCAAAATCAAAATTCACGTTGAACTTTATTCTTTATTTGCGAATACAGGTAATGACAGATGTCAAAGAACAGTACAGATAGATATTTAGGGAGTAGTTTAAACTTTTTTTTATCCATTTTCTTAATAAATGGGCTTTTTTTTCTGTTTTTAATTGATAGCCTTTGCAGTTTCGAGGATAACTGTAACTGACCCGGCTTTTTTGTTCGTTTACTCTATACTCACTCGGTGATAAACAACGAAATAATTTCTTAACTCCGGTTTTCTATCACATCATCACATCAACAGTCTTTAATAGTCCACTGCTGGACATAAGCCTTTCCGTATGCTATAAGGTCGTGTTAATACTCTGGTCGCGTCGCCCCAATCATGCCGCAGTTTGGCTCTCTCACTGTTTTTTCACCAAATGCCGCTAATTTCTGTTCTAATTATTATTTACAGAGAGATTGGGTGTGCAATCACGCAAGTTACGTACCTACAGCACAGTCAGTATTCTTCGCTGGTGCTGTCCTAGGGACTTTTGTCTTCGGATGGATAGCTGATCGCTTTGGCAGAGTACCTGCTGTAATAGGTATGTAATAAATTCTCTTATTTATAAGATTAATCTTATAAAAAGAGAAAAAATACTATCATTTTGATGATAGTCAAGACAAGTAAGTTCAAGAGAAGTATGTTGTTTTAAATTTTAAAAACGCTAGCTTTTTTGCAACACAGTTTTGTTCACAACAAACACAAAGTTTTTAATCTTTAATTGGTGGATGTATTGATCTTGTGGCTAATGTTATAACTGTTGATCCGGACGTGGGTTTGTTCCCATCCTGGACATTATTAAATATTTTTGTCTTAACAAGAACATATTAAGAAATGTGTCTAGGTTTAATTGTTCATAATATGTACACATGTATGTACCACGGTCTCATAGAAGACCACAAGTTGTTTATTACCAAGCTACCGGAGCCCACTAGCCCCACTTTTGAGGAGGGGAACCACTCTAGTTGCAGGGGTTCATGGGCAGCGTTATTCACTTGCCATCGGGTGACTCGTTTGCTTGTCTGTCCCCTCATCAACAGCCTTTAATAGTCCACTGCTAGACATAGGCCCGTACTTAGAAAGGAGGTTTTAGCCTACTATAACACGTTGGCCAGACGGCTTGGTATCAATTTGTATCAAGTTTTCCTTCTCTCTGCAGTGCTGTTGTCCTGCATAGTTTGTTCCCTTAGTCGGCTCTTACGACACACACTGGATGAATTGGGGTGGTGACACTTTGTATTCTTAATCCGTCACCACACAGACTCTATACCATGAAAAAAGGTAATCATCTACTTTCAGCCACAAACTTGATTGGTGGCATCGGCGGTATTGCTACTACATTTACAAGCAAAGAGTGGGATTTCATCCTCTGCAGGTTTATCGTTGGCGTATCTTTTGACAACTGCTTCATGATCCTGTATGTTTTAGGTAATTATTTCAATTTACACTTAGTATCAAATTATTAAGCACGGCTCAAAATATTTACAGACCAAAATAACATCTGCTCTTCTGCTATGGTTTTGAGGCCTTAATGCAAAAAATCTTCCCATTCAAACTACCATGGCCATTTTTAGTTAATAAGTTATTATTAAATATGTTTAAAGCAAAAAAGGCGCAAGATAAAGTTATCTGATTCGGTTTAAATATGACAAGCCAATGACAATAAAAATATAATCCCATGCAGTGTTGCAAGCATAATGATCACGGATGAACTAGAATCAGTGCCGAAATATCTAAAACGAATTAGAGAAACCAAACATGTTATATATCCTGTTCTTAATAACTTATCAAATGAAAACCACCTCATCTCATCATCATCACTTCGTAAGTTTTGTAGTAGGAATTATTATATTTGTTCTCAAGCTTGTAATATTCAAACCGAATCATATGATATGATCTTGTTTCGTTTGGATTTCCAGCATTTCCATATTAAACGAAATTAGTTCGCAGTTTAACCTCCGCTGCACTATGCAACTTATTTTTTCTGACATCTACATGTATGTGTCATACCTGAAGCTACTGCATTCATTGTCAGCTATTTCAATAATTAATCTCTACTGGACGGAGATTATCTATATATGTAAATGTGTCTGATTAAAATTAAAAAAAGTAAAACGTATCGTATAAATAACTATAGGGTTACATTGACTGCCTTTTCTAAGGTTATTGAAAACTGCGTAAAGTACCAGTAACAGTATTTTATCTATTCAACAGCAAGCTTTCAGAAGAAACCATAGTATTGCATCAGCATCGTTGAACATAATTGATGAGATAATATCAGTTCGATACAAAAATTTGAAACAATTCTTGTTGTACTTGATTACATACGTGTCTTTGACTGTGTGCATATTCCGATTCTTATTAATAAGCTTAGTTAGTTTTATTGTTTCCTATATAACACTAGTAAGTGTTCTCCTCATTACTTCCTCTCCTTTCTGTCTCTTATCTCCTTAACTTGTGAAACCTATTACCCCAAGAAAATGCTAAATTAAATTTTGATAATATCCATGAATGAAAATCAATAATTGAAAAAATGAAAAAAATATGTTAAAAGGTTCTGTACTTGGTTTTATATTTACTATTTTATTAACACTGAAGATACTATAAACTTTATTTAAACAGACTACCAATCTTTGAGGCAATCATTTCCATTGTAGTCCAAATTGTGAACTCAACTCCGCGACGAGTTTGTTCATGCCATGTGGGACAAATGAACAGTAAAAACTATAAGGTCCTTTAAGCCTAACATAAAAATTGCAAATTCAGTCATACCTAGCTAAAGCTGAAAGATATTTTCAGGTAAAAATAACTAAATATTATGCTTCTCTCAACAAAAACAGCAACAAACAACAATTAAATGATAATGCTCATGTTTACATGATCCAAACTATTTATTATTGACATCAGAAAGGACAATGGCAGGTCCCCATACATAATTTTATTTGAACTGAAATGTTAGCGTTTAAATATCAAAAAATCCTTAACACTTGAGAATTTATTCTTGACCATTCTCATATCAAAATTACTTGCGAAAGAAGTCTAGGAAAAAAGATATTGGATTTTGAATGTTTCGAGGTTAAGTACTAACATATTGTTAATGTTTTGTTTGAAACTAGATGGCGTTGTGTGTCAGATAGCCGAAAATATTATTTTCATTATTATTGCAGTATATGAAATAAAAAAAATAAAAGCATAACATCTATTCGAGTTTAACACTAAATTAAACAAAAATAAAATAACAAACGTGGTGAGTCCAGAACTTGACAGGATCTAAACCACAGATTAAGAGATATGTACTAAACGACGACGTATCGACATTTTGAAAATATCGATGTATGTCTATTTATGTGCCGTTATCAATGACAATGTATTTTTCTCATCACACTGTGTAGTGGAAAATAACGTAACTATATTCTATTTCTTTAGTGTGTTTAAAATCGTTTAAAGAGAGTCAAAAATATTTTAAATCATTTCTAATTATGTTGATTCAGTCACTCTACCGTACGAGTGAAGACGTGGGCAGAAGCAAATTCATAATCATAATAGTGAAACTTCGGTAAATATTTCAGCCAAAGCTATAAGAATCGATTATCGATAAATTGTTTCATAATATAATATTGCCACCACGCATCCCTAGTCAGTTATACGTGACGGCGAATCTGACATTACGTACTTAGGTCAAATAAAATTTTCAAAAATATCTTATCTCTTATAAGACTTATACAACACATGGTGGTGTAATGATAAATCATAGAAAAAAATTTGATTAAGTTTACTGTGACTCGATTTTTTAAACGCTTAAGTTTTAGGTAAATATGTTTCTGCCATTGTTCTTTCCTTTCTTGCAATTTTCTATATTATCTGCTGTTAAATTAGAGACGGGTATGTGAAACAATGGGCCAAGATGACTTATTATTAGCTAAGAACTCCTTTGTAGCAGTAGACAATGGAGTCATTACAGAGATTGATTGTGATTTAAAACACTTAATTTCAAGTAAAACACTACAGAAACATTATTAGCTTATTTTATTCTTGCATTTTTTATAAACTTTGCACTGTTTTAATAAGGTTTAGTGCCTGAACGTATGTTATTTCTTAGGGAAGTGATAAAAATGAAGTGAATACTGAACTAACCACGTTTTTTTTTGGAAAACTTGAAAAATTTATAACTCGCGTTTGGGGTGTAGTTAGTGTACTTAGTGGTAGAAAGCTGAAATTTGGACACGTTGTCAGTGTATGAGTCTTGTAACTACAGTTAAATTTTCAGGTCAAAATGTTGTAAGCTTTTTGCAAACGGTCGACTATTGCTAAAAGTGAACTTATTTAAAGCCCCTCGCTTTAAATAAGTTCACTTTTTTTTAAACGTTATACCTGTGTCTTAAGGAGGAGTTTAACTACAAATTTTCAAATTTTCAGTACATTTGATAAATTTACATATATTTAAATAGTCAATAAAGAGCAGGTACTTTTTGCGCGAAGTCACCGTAGTCCAGACGACGTAGCTTTGGGTTTATAAAAAAAGATGACCACGGGCGCCTTTATTTTGTATCAATCTATAATTAATTGTATGAACGTAACGTACACATAAACCCTAAAACCCCCTCCCAATTGCTTGAAAAAGGGTCACTTTTTAGCAAAAGTCGATGGTTAAAAGCTTACAATATTTTTGACCTGAGAATTTACCTGTAACTACAGGAGTACAACAATGACAACATATCCAAATTTCATCTGATTTTTTTGTAATTTTGGGCGATTAGATGTTTCGATTTTGCTCTCCGTGGGTTCATTCTCTTTGGTTTTTTATTGCGCACATTTGGTACATTCAACTTTTTTTCGTAGGAGCTTTAGTTTACGCTCCAGACCCGACGCGGAAAACTAGTTGTTACCACTTTCGTCATTTTTTGGCACCTTAGGTGACAATATTTTGTTGTAATTTTTATTGCAATCAATTCCTGATAGTTGAAGCTTTATTGAAAAGAATCGTCTAATAAATCTACTTGTCTAAACAGAAGAATTAATAGAATGGTTTTTATGGTAGTTGCTAATTTCATAAATATTCAAATTCTCTTTTACATAACATTGTTTATCTGAGTTCTTGATATTGTTCTCAAAGATTGAATGGTAATATTAAGTGCACGAAACTGACATTCAATTTTTACATCTTTCATTAGTAATTATATTCTTCAAGTGATACAACAAGGTTTATAGTTATTGATTTTGTTTATTATCGTACGGTTAGAATGTAAATTTAATACTGTAAAATCAATATTCATTCTGAAACGCAAATTTCATTGTTACACAGACACGCTGTGTTCTGTGGTTTACTGTGTTCTGGAGATCAACAAGCTCAAAACTGAAAAGGTTTTCTTATAAAACGACCACCCTTACTTATACTTTTTATACCTTATCCTCGAAAATTATTTAGAAATACAAAAATTTCTTGCATTGGCAAAGAACTATCTTGTAACTTAATTATTCAAATCTTGACCAATAATTCTTTTCAGTTCTTGAATATGTGGGATGTCAATACCGCACCGTAGTTGCCAATTTAGCATTGGCATTATCTTTCGCCGTTGCCGGCATATCATTGCCCTGGATAGCGTATTATATTGCTGACTGGCGCATATTGTTGTGGGTTACTTCACTACCCATGTTCCTCGTATTGCTAATGCCTTGGTTCTTGCCCGAAAGTGTCAAGTAAGTTTAGTGTTAAATAACTATCTCATAAGTGTACGCCAGAATATATTTATTTTAATAGTGTTTAAGCTTAAGCGGTTTTTATTTATTAAGAAGTAGCTTACAGATGCATCAAAATAAGTGAAGGTTGGCACTGTATTAAGCACACAACTTTGATCCAGATCAATAACAACTTTTATTATTGGTCTCCACTGCCACTTCACTTAACACCGCTAAGTGATCAGTCGGCAATGACACTGCCCCTTCCCATAATAAAGTTGCAAATACAAGGTCAGTAAAATGATGATAATGATGATGATGATGAATTACTTCAAATATGTTGACATAAGTCACAGCTAGCAGAAATATCCTCATGATTTCGTCCCCTCAGACATTATTGTGTTTACTTCATTCCGTATGTATAATATATATTAATAGTTATTTATGTATTCGTCTATGTATTTTCAAACTAATGTTATATTTTTATAGTTTGTTCTTTTTATATAATACATGTGCACCTGCACTGCCCCTAACTGAACCATCTTAAGGTTGACTGGTAGATAATGCTATATGGCATTAAGTCCGCCTCGTGCAAGTTGTAATGCAGGAAGTGTAAAATAAAAAATAAAAAACTAAATAAGTGACTCATTGTAGATGCTGTGATGGCATAGTAAACATTTAAGTTCGTATTTGCTTTTAAAGTTTAATTAATTTCATAATTAGTACATTTTTTTCTTCGCTATGCGTTCGACGTCACGGCTTCGATTATTTAACAACGATTAATTTCTTTCTAGATGGTTAGTAAGCAAGGGCCGCGTGGAAGAAGCTGTAGCTATACTCAAGCGATTTGAGTCCATGAATGGAAAGAAGATTCCCGATGATGTCATGGACGAATTTAGAGTAAGGTTTTTATAAGGGCCATTTATTTGTAATTATCTGAAGGAGACGCAGCGAAGTCGTTTGGAAACTTGATGTATCCATTTTTTAGTCACAAAAAGCTATAAAAAAAACAATGTTAACGTTTCCTATTCAATTTTCAAATCAACAAATCTAGGTTTTTTTTTTATTTTGTGAAGAACCGGTCCATCTGAAGCTATTAAGAGCTTTCTGCTTTAGGGTTTGGTTTTGTTTTTGGTTTACTCAGCAAAATACCCTCCCGCACACTTGAATGAATTGATCATACACAATTTTTTTCTTGATCATCCAAAATCCTAATTCTAATTTGTAGTTATCAATAATTTGTTCCGCTTTTTAATTTAAACTATTTAATCATCAATGTGAAATTTTATATCGTTGTCAGGAATGCGAAAGAAGAAACAGCATACTTTATATTCAGCAATCAACATATTCAGCAGAGTAACTTTGACACAAGTAAACGCGCGCGCAAATCAGTATTATAAATGTAAATATAGAAGCCGGCAGAATTAGCGGAACACAAAAAAAGGGGAATATAAAATAGTTGGACAAATAATAATTAAACATGAAACAACAATTAAAATAACAGATACATTACACAACGTTTTGTCATTAATTTGCAACACAATACTTAAAGTTTAATGTAAAAAACTAAAGTAAACAAAATGATTTTTTCTTAGATTTCGTAATGACAGAGAAACAGTTATAAATTTAAGATTTTGTGACGGTTTACAATTAATTAAATGAATGTTTAATTTCAAGTGTTTCCCCTCCGTGCTCTGATTGTAGTTTCCATCCGTTTGGGCATGCTGCGGACAATGATTTCTTGGGGCAAACTCAGCCATTTTTCAAGTAATACGTTTCGCAACTCACCCAGATTGTTGAAAGGTGACATTTTTGATTTGATAGTCCTCTTTAGCAAGTCCCAGACGTTTTCAATTGGATTCATATACGGGGACTGCTGGCCCCTTCATCACTATTACCCTAACATGGTTTAGGTATGCCTGTACTGAGCAAGCACTGTGAGCCCGAGCATTATCCTGCATTATAATGAAGTCGTTGCCAGTAAAGGGGGCAAATGGCACAACATGTTCTTCTTAAATCTCCTTGATATACAGATTCGCACCGTCGATTACCACCAACTCCGTGCGAGGTCCTAAACGTATCCCTCCCCAGATCATAGTTGAGCCTTAGTGTTTTCAAAATTAGACTGGATATAATGCTCTCCTTTGCGTCTCCATACTCGCTGCCTTCCATCAATCTGATTTAATAGAATTCTGCATTCATCTGTGAAGAGAACTTGACCCCACTCGTTGAATTCCTTTTTTGTGTTCCTCTAATTCTGCCGGCCTTTGTGTATAGTCATAGTGCGGGCATTGTCTTTTTTTAAATGAGGTAGTTTTGTTGATTATTGTCAAGGTTAAGGTTAACCTTGAAGGTTAACAGAAAAAGTAATGAATCCAAGACATGTCTAAATTTGATCAATGAGACTAAATCTAAATTATACAATACAACTATAAATACAACTAAAAAAAACTATAAATAAACTACAACTACAACTAAACTATAAATACAAATAAATACAACTATAAATGTAGGCATTCAAAGAAGATTCTTTTACAGATGTTTGGAGAGAAAGCCAAGTTGGAGGAAAAGCATTCAATATTGGAAATGCTGTCTAGCAAAGAACTGCGTTGGGCTATGTTCAGTTTGATTTTGGTGTTCATGGGATGTGGTGTTGTTTTTGATGGCCTGGCGCGGTTGGCTGACTCATTTGGCTTGAGTTTCTTCGCTGTTTTCAGTTTTAATGAAGTCTTCGAATTCGCAGCTATTTTCTTCGTCATTATTATTCTCGATAGGTACGTATCGGAATTTCTGACGGGAACTTTTTAACAATAGTGAGACATCTGTAAAAATAGTCAATTAAAGTTTATATTGTAGTGGCAGCATAATGCTTGCTAATTCTCTGAACTAGTGTTTTATAAGTAAGAGTATTTAAGTTTTTTTTGATTATTTTGCTTTAAAAACAAAATTAAATCACCAAGTTCGAAAAAGGTTACTGTAGTAAATTAAGAAGGAGATGATATAATAAAGTGTTAAATTTATTTCAGGTTGGGCAGAAGGAACTCTACGACAAGTTCATCATTTATAGCCAGTGTCTTACTCCTGATTGCTCTCTTCGTGCCTGAAGGCAAAGTATTATTTTTGATCACATTTTTTTAAACAGTACTTACCTACCTATTTATCTATGATCTGCAATCAGTAGTTACAGTTTAAATTACTACCATGGAAGAATTCTATAAGGTTGAAATTTGAATGGAACCTAACGATAAGAATACCTTTAAAATGTTTCAAATACCTTCATACATGGTGGAGTTCTACGGAAACAAATATAAAAATACACGATAATATCGAATTGAGAAACTCCTCAGTTTTTGAAGTTGGTATGGTGGTGATAGTATGGTAATTAAATATATATGTAGATGACCAATTGGTTAGAACACGACGGAGGCACCTCATCAAAGGGTAAAGCGTCCTTACGCGTCATTTACGGTCTCCGTTGGGCAGACGAGTCACCTGATGGTAAGTGACTACCATGGTCCATGAATACTTGCAAGTTAAGAGTGACAAATGTGTTCCCGACTTTTGACCTCCCTCGCAGAATAGTGGGAGGGACGGTGATGGTTAGTGGTACCGGTAGCCTCACTTACTCGGTAGGTCACTGTAGTTTAAAAAAATATTGTTTTTACAAATTTTCAGATTTGTTATACAATTGTTTCAAGTCTACTACTAAAGCATATGACTTTATTTTATGAAATACTTGTATGGTCTCTCAGTTCTCACGCACGTTGTGTTCTCCTTTTGAACACGCACATTCGAACGCTCACGTCGACCGTACGTCGTGTCGGATCAAAATGCGTGTTAGCATGTAACGACAAAAAAAAAACTAAACTATTTAAAGAGCGTCACGACTGTGCATATGTCATAACGAACGAATTGGTGGAAAATTCAGAAACATAAAGTACAGCATGGCATCATGTTGTATTTTGTGTTTCTAGATTTTCCACCTCTGGGTGTGATATTCTTTCTTGAAATTTTAATGGGTATAGGCGGGAAATGTACTCTTCCAAACATAAAGAGTATCTTCCAAATCAGTTCTTAGATGGCGGAGTTGAGGTAACAAAAATGAAAAAAAAAAACAAATTTAATGAAACCTCTTTTTATGAAGACTGTAAAAACCCCACCAATCGATAGGGCCATCACGATTTTAATATAATTCAAAACCAGTTAGTAGTCTGTTGGGTTTTTTAGCCCATTTTTAATTAAAATGTGATCTCACACACGGCCGTCTGAGGTTATTGTTATTTTCAATGATTATGAATTTTGAATTTTGCAGGTCTTCCTCAGGCGATTTTAGCAATATTGTCACGTTTCTTTATGACGACGTGTTATACAGCCAGTATGCAATGGTGTACAGAGGTAATACCGACACCTTTTCGGGCTTCTGGAATGTCCATTTTTCATATGAGTGCATTTACGGCCAATATATTTTCACCCTTCATTGTATACGCAGTAAGTTTTATTTTATTTTTACGCTAGGTTAGTATTTATGACTTTTTATTAAAATTATAAATGGGAATAAGTTAATTTATTAAATTGAAGTTTAGAATAAAAGATGTGAATGTGAAGTGAAGGAGACGGCGGAGGTTCTTAAACCCCTGACGGGTGTGAGAACCTCCGCCGTCTCCTTCTGCGAGCAAGTTATGCTTGCGAAGGGGAGAGAGGAGCACCAATTGAACATGGGGGTTCCCACACAGGAGGGGGTCATCTACCCGCCGTAGATGCCCCGGGGTACCAGGGATTTCCTTTCTAGGGTAGGTGTACCCTAGAAAGGAAATCCCTGGTGTGGTTCCCCGGCTACTGGTACCCGAGACGTGCGGTTTTTAGTCGGTTCGAGTCCGACATAGCCACCGCTAGGTGTTATCCGAGGGGATTTCCGCACAAAAAAAGGGATGTAAAAACCAGGCATGTGATAACTTTATTTAAAAAAAAAACTATTAACTTGAGTAGAACCACGGGCAAAAGTTAGTTATTTATATTATTATTACAATTATTAGACACCTACAGAATGTTGTCCATCGTAACTTCTTTTGGCTTTAATATACAAGGCATATGTATTTCATAATACATATTGTCATTTTTTTTTTATAAATATTTAATACTAGCTTTTGCCCGTGGCTCCGCCCGTGTTTATGTCGGTTATCGCCATAAAAAGTAGCCTATGTTACTCGCTGATAATTTAGCTTTCTATTGGTCAAAGAATTTTTTAAATCGGTTTAGTGGTTTAGGCGGGATGCGTAACAAACAAACAAATTCACTTTAACATTTTATAAAATAAGTATTAATTAATATATGAAATGATCCTTAATTAGTAGTTGTTCGTTTTAATCAGTCCTAGTTCATTTAATTGTGTCATTATTTACAATTTACTGGTTGGTACCCTCTAATTCGTCAGTGAAAAAAAATTCTAACACATTAACCATTCACCATCACCAAGTTTAATTTTGAGGTAAAAAATATTTGCTCAAATATTTTGTTTAAATCTTTGCCAAACTTCCGTGAGATTGCTTTAACGCTAAGCTTTGAAAAAAACTGTGTTATTATTATCTTAATATATATAAATCTCCTGTCACGATGTTTGTCCGCGATGGACTCCTAAACTACTTAACCGATTTAAAATTAAATTGGCACACCGTGAGCAGTCTGGTCCAACTTAAGAGATAGGATAGCTTAGATCTTTAATTATAGTCGCAATTTTATTTTATTGCAAATTATTGGTCTATAATTAATTGACAGTCACAATTATCTGTTAACTCCAAAAGATTCTAACAGATGTCGATACTTTTCGACTGGATTGAGTAAGTAATCAATAGATGGCACTGCTATGGTAAACCGACATAATGTATATGGCAAAACAACGTTTGCGGGGTCAGCTAGTACTCGTATATGTAATTGTAATCTAAGCACAGCGCAAATAAAAAACTAACAGTTGGTTATCGTCTTTGATATCTTGCAAATGCCGCTTCTGTCTAGACCTACATAGTAACGAAAATGCATGTTTTTTTTTTATTGCTTTAATTAATCATTTACATCTTTATAACATGGAAAAAAATATAGTCTTGAAAATAGTCAAATAATTTTACAAAGTGAAATTTAAAACAGTGACGGATTAAGAATACAAATTGTCACCACCCCAATTCATCCCGTGGGTGTCGTAAGAGCCGACTAAGGGAGCAAACTAAGCAGGACAACAGCACTGTAGAGAGAAGGAAAACTCTACACAAACCCTATACCAACCCGTCTGGCCAGCGTGGTATAGTATAGGCCAAAACCTCCTTTCTGAGGAGAGGCCTATGTCCAGCAGTGGACTATTAAAGGCTGTTGATGATGATGATGATGATGGATAAATTTTAGCCCTTCAAACGCCAACATTTAGCGCGCGCTTTTGATGACGTCATTGGTTGTGTCCCGTGTTTGTTTACTATAGCGTTTCAGTTACTTCATACTTATTTTCAGTTTTAATTTCTATACAAATCATGGCAGAAGTTTAAAAACCTTCTTACAAGTATTGCAAACCGAAGTGCAAAAGCACTATTATCAGTACACCCGATAAAGTGTTTTTTCGTATTCCACGCGATGCGAAAGTACGAACAAAATGGTGGTGATCACATTGCAGATCGCAGGGTTGTCACATTTATTTTATTTCTTATTTTAACTTTGACCATTAGGTAACGAAATGAGTCCCTAATCTTTTAAAATCAAAGCAGAGATCACCCTGAGCTATTATCAATTTATGAAAATAGTCAGTTTAATGCAAATAACCCTTTTCCAAGAGTCACTTGTTATTTCAGGGGTTAGTGACCCTGGCTGCTACGCCAGAGGTCGTGGGTTCGAATCCCACCCAGGGTAAATAACTATGATGGGCATGAATATTTGTCTCAGGGTGTAATTTATTTGTAATACATATTTAATTAGAAATATTACAGAATTTTTATAAGCCGTCTGGGTACCATAGCACAGGCTTTGCCTAGTTTGGCATAAGACGGTCATGTGTGAGATATGCAGTTATAAATTTGTACATTACAGAGTCGCGTATGGGACATGTTGCCGATGGTGATATTTACTGTAATATCATTCATAACGGCGGGTGTCTGTTTGACATTGCCGGAGACCAAGGGCTTAGCGCTGCCGCAGACCAAAGAGGATGGTGAAAACATAATCAGGGAACACTCTTTATGCCGGTTAGTTTAACAAAAATAAGCTTTTCATGTTTTTTGGAATAATAATATTTAAAAAATAACCATGCTGGTTAGAAATTTGCGTTGGAAGGTCATTCTTACCCAAAAAAAACATGGCTTTGAAAGAATATCAGAATCAATTATGAGACTTTATTTTATTTATTTAACTTAATGCACTAGTTGTACAAAGGTGGACTTGATGCCCAAGGCATTCTCTGCCAGTCGACCTTCGGGTGATGTAGAAAAATGAAACTGTAGGTGCAAGAGAAAACAGAGAATTTGACTTGTTTATATTATTAATGTTGGATAAATCTAACTTACATATATACACTACCACTATAAATACTATAAATAAAATACTATATTCATAACTACATATATACATAGAGGTCTCAAGTATACACATACAATAGGTGAATATACACATTTATAAATACATAAATATAAAAACACATAGTCGGGTACTAGCGATGTGACCTTTCTGCCAACTTATTTTGTAGAAGTTCTTGTACTTTCTTCTTGAACGTAAACCGGTTAGTGGACATCCTAATTTCAACTGGGAGCGCATTCCAGAGAAGAACTGACTGTACATAGAAGGAAAAATTGATGAAGTTGGAAGTGTGAGGGGGGCAAAGAAGAAGCATATTATTTGTTGATCGAAGATTTCGGTCGTGACTGGAGCAAAGGAGGCGGAGATGGGGAACCAGGTACTCAGGTACCGATGGGGAATTAAGAAAAGAAAAAAGATATGTTAGTGCGCGCAGACTGCGGCGTTGACGAATCGGGAGCCATTTCAGTTGGGAACGTAAAGCAGACACATGGTCATACTTGCGAAGATTAAAAACAAATCGAATGCAGTTATTAAGAAGTCGGTCTAGTTTATTGAGGAGGTCTGCATTTAAGTCAAGATAACACACATCACCATAATCGATTAAGGGAGTAATAAGGGACTGCATATGCGTAGCCTTAGTTTTAGTGGGCAGAAAATTCTTGAGACGATATAAGGCGCGAAGACATGTAGTGACTTGCTGGCTGACGTGGGTGACTTGTGCTCTCCAGTCAAGTGTCGAATCAATATGTAGCCCTAGGTTCTTAACCACTGGGCTCAGAGGTATGATTATGTCGTTAAAAACAACTGGTGGTATGGCCGTCATGTCCAACCTATTTAACATCTGTTTGCTACCTATGACGATCACTTGACATTTGCTTGGGTTAACCGACAAACCAAACCTCATTGACCAGCTCCTTATGAAATCTTTGTTGACTTTATCAGTGGCGTGTGATATATCTTCAACTCTCGATTGGGCGTAAATTTGCAAGTCATCTGCATACAGGTGATACGCACATTGAAGGTGTTGGGTTACGAGATTAATAAAAATTGAAAATAATAACGGAGATAATATACCGCCTTGAGGGACCCCAGTGAAAAGATCGCACTAACTCGATGACAAGCCGTCAATACGAACACACTGTTGTCGTCCCTGAAGATAGGAGGAAAACCATTCCAGGGCTTCCGAGGAGATCATAAGATAGGAAAGGATGGATAGCAGAACATCGTGACTGACGGTATTAAAGGCATTCGAGAAATCAATCAAAGCCAGCACTGTGACTTTGGTGTCCTCCATACCCTGCCTAATATCGCCAGTCACTTTTAGGAGAGCGGTAATTGTGCTATGACCAGGTCTGAATCCAGATTGTAAATGGCTAAGGAGCTTCTGCTGGTACACAAACTGCGATAGCTGCTTATGTACACCAGCCTCAAGCACTTTTGAGAGAAAGGGGAGTATGGAAATAAGTCGATAGTGTTCAGGGAGAGAAGGGTTATTTTTTTTTGGCAAAGGGATTATGAAAGGCTTACGCCAGATTGAGGGAAAATTGCCGGAGTCGAGTGAAAAGTTAATGATATGGGCTATTGCAGGAAGAATTTGATCCAAGATAGTGACAATCATATGACGGCTGATGCAGTCACAACCCATAGCATTGGAATGGATAGACAGGATGATTTTTTTGATGTCCTCGGAAGATGCCGGAGAAAAGCTAAAGGATTCAATATTGGGTCGGGCAAGACCAGCAATATAGTTCAAGGTTTGACTCTTGGTTTGATGATCCAGCTGAGGTGCGGACGAGAAGTGACGATTGATATCATCTAGACCAATTGTCATCCTCACCTCAGGGCGCTGCTGTTTGCCAATGCCCAATGTACCAAGAAACTTCCACATATTGGAAGACAAAGAGGTTTCTATATTTTGAAGAATATGACGGCGTTTTGCGTTACGTATCACCTAGTTGCACCGATTCCTCGCAGTCTTAAAGAGGTTCCATTTCTCTTCACAGCGGTTTCTCCTGTATTTTTTGAAATAATGGTCTCTCCGTCTCATGGCCATTCGTACTTCCTCTGTCATCCATGGAGCGGGGGGCCGCTTTAATATAACTTGCCTAACAGGTGCGTGAACGTCATACAAGTTCTGAACTGCGTCGTTGAATATCCTGACCTTGTCGTCTATGTCAGTGGCTGCTGCCAAGTTCGTCCAGTCTAATTTGGAAGCATCTGAACACAGTTTTTCGACATCCATTCGCTTAAAGCTACGCATACGCAAAATTTTGGGACAGGATTTAGGGGGTTTTAGGATATAGGAGAGAAAGATCAAGTCATGATGGGAAAATCCAGGAGCAGGGTGTTGACCATGGGAGTGGACCCGGTTAGGAGCAGAGGTGAGCATTAGGTCAAGCCAAGTATCCTGGTGCTCAATATTATGATGAGTTGCTTGAAGGGGGAGGACGTGGAAGCTGGTGGATTGGATGATGTGAAGGAGATTGCGGGTACGGGGAGAGTTAATCGCTAGAAGATCGGTATTAAAATCTCCCATAATGATGTGATGTGCATATTCCGACCCTAACGATTCCAGAACTGTTTCCAGACTGGAGAAGTAGCTAACAACAGGGGGACAATAAACTACACCCAGTAATACGTTAGATCTTCCCACACGAACTTCAAGGAATAGGTATTCAGCGGTAGTAGAAAGATCGGAAGCAGAAGCGGCGACGATTTTATAAGGTAAACAGCTACGGAGGTAGATGGCAACCCCACCGCCTCTTTTTGATTCTATTCGATCATTAGGAATAAGTACAAAGTCAGTCAGTGAAAAAGAAGAAGAAGATAGGTGCAGCTTGAGCCAAGTCTCTGAAATCAGTACGGCATGAACGTTGTTGTCGGTGAAAGTTACAGTCAAATCATTAAAATGACTGGGAACACTCTGGGCATTTATATGACATACATTCAACAAAGATTGATTGTTAAATGACTGCCGTAATTGTTCCCCCAAGGTATCAGGTAACGAACTGTAGCTATCATCATCTGAAGAGTCGTTGGCAGAAAAATATACTTCGTTATCATCAATCATTATAACAGCAGAGTACGAGTACACGTATTAAACATACAAGGAATTAAATACAATACGATCTAATAAAATATTATACAAATATATAATAATATTGTACATGCATATATATATAATAAATATTTTTGTAAGTACCTTAGTCGACGTTGGATTTATGTATTTCTACACCACCCGCCAGCTCACACACAAGACTGAAATTAATTAGTAAAACACTAAAACGAAACATGCGAAGAAAAAATCGACTATAAGTAACTGTTATAAATTAAGCATAGTGTACCTTATTTAGTTAATTATATTTAGGCAGCTAAACCAGAGAAAGAACAAAAATAAAAACAAGAGTTATATAGCTAAGGGTTTTGTGAGTACAAGATACTGAACGCAACAGTAATGGTTGCTGAACGAGCGAAACATTGACTTGACAGATGTCATATCTGTCACGATTGATAGCAATTCACGGGACAGCAAACAAAGTTTTTAACTATTTAATGAGTTGAAGGTACAATAACAAACAAGAAACTATGAAAACTTATTATCAGGATATTATGAAAATATATCGAATGCACAATGCGACAAATAGTAGTGTCACTAATACTAATGTCTTCGCGTACTTTTGTTACTCACAGCTAAATTTGCATTTTCGGAGACGCTTCTATCTGCAACTGATACCTTAAGATATTTGGTGACCAATCCTTTAAGCTCGTCGATGGATGTTATTTTATGCCGACAGTTGTCACGGGTTTTGATGTTTATAATGCCGTCCTGTGTCCAACAAGCTGACATACCGAAATGCTGTCGGGCCATGCTGAAGGCAGTCTGTCGGCGTTTAGTGAGAAATTCCCTCACTGAGAAGCCAGAACCCTTCATGGATGTCTTAGACTTCCAGACCGCCAGTCTAGTCTCCGCGGTGGTAAATCTCACCAATATTGGCCGACGATGTTCTTTAGATGGAGCACCAATCCGATAACAATGCCTGATATTTGGGCGTGAGATGTCTTTCTTATTCATCTTTGTATTAATTATGTCGAGAAGAGTTGTCTCACAGTCCTCTTTGATAGCCTCGGGCACTCCTAAGAAGATCAGGGACTTGTGACGGTGCCGGGTCTCCATAGCATCCACCATCCTGACACACTCACCAATTTGCTTCCGAAGAAGACCCAGCATGGTAAACATCAACTCACGAAAGGTTTTGAACTCCTCTGACACCCGCACCACTGTCTCCTTGCTGTTTCCACCAGTTTGCAGTTGTGCCTCCAGCTGAGCCATCCTCTTTGAGAAGCTCTCTTCTAAACTGTTCTGAGCCTCTTGAATATCAGACAGTTGAGACATAGTTGTGATTACAAAGTGAAAACAATATTTTCTTTAAAGTTACGCTGTGTAGTGTTGATGTGCTGGCAGGTGATTAAAATACCTGGCTTAAATCATGTAAATCAGTGTGATAACTGTAAGTACAATGTATCTAAGCTTTATTGCACATTTTTTGATAACAAACACTAGGGATTTATTACGGGACGAAGCCTTTGCTCTGGCCACCCAAGATGGCGTCACATTAGTTTTGGTCCGGATCGAAGAAGGTTTAGATTTTTAAAATGTAGTCTTTTTGTTGTAACGAGGGCATATTTCTTATTTTTATTATTTGGCCAACCTCGTTAAAGACTCAATTATATTGTTCGAATTGTTATTTTCATTAAAAGGTAAGTCTTGTTAAGCCACGTGCTTCATACTTGGCTTGTCGAGATTAGTTGTTCTAAATCTTTGTTTATTTGGTTACAGGAGATAATTATAATGCCGCTGCTTAGTTTGTGAAACATTTTGGGACCCTGGTGAATAAACTATTGTATCTTGCCAGATTTAGGATTCATCTTTTGAGATAGGCAAATAACCTATAATTTTTCTCATTTTTTGCAGATGAATCAGGGTTTTTAGTTTACATCTTAAGTTTTTAGTTTAAATCTAAGTTTTTTTAGTTTAATTCTAAATCTTTTGTTTAAATCTAAATTTTCTATTTATACCTTAAATTCTTATTGGATTGGAATGTCATTGCGTGACATTTGGATTTTGTCTCTCTGCCGGCCTGACCCAAGGGTTTGGTTTGCTGCGGAGCACCTATAATGGTAGAAAAAGCTGCTTAGCTGCATGCCATTGTCAGGAGCCTGGGAATGCTACTCCGCCTCTTCCACCACGTGGGACCGGAGTGAGATGTTTTAGATTTGGTTTGAATTCTTTTCATTCGGACTGAACCAATGTCATTTGGTATGTTTTTTTTGTTAATTTGTAGGCGTTGTGGCGTTGGATACTGCAGGTCCCCAAGGGGTGTTATTTTTTTACTAGAGAGTAGGTCGATGCCACCACTACCCTTAGATTCATTTCTTATTGAGTCTTTATGTGACTCTTAAAACTTATTTAATTTTAGTTTGGTTTTTTTATTTATTTGAAAAGGATTGCATTAATGACAGTACTAATTTGAGTATAAGAATTACCTATTGTAATTAGAGTCCTAAGATACTTTGTACTCTACAGACACTACGGGATAATAAACTGCCACTAGAACTTAACATCTTTGTATTTATTAGCTGCCCCCCGTCCTAGATTAAAGGTCTAGCCCTGACCGAGTTGTCCGAGGCATTTATTGTGTTTGTGGTTGGTTCTGTGTTCTTTTAAGGTGGTATCTGGCGCCCGAGATTGTTAGTTTGTTAGTATTTGTGATGCCACCAGTTAGTTTTGTTTGTTAAAACACAGACCACACACATACATATATATAATTTTTTTTAATTTTTTAATAATTATTAGTAGTAATTTTTTTTTACAATAAAGACTAATTAAGAGACGAAATGAGTGAATTGGCAGAACAGTCACAACGCTAGTACCCGACTGAGTATTTTTACTGAGTAACTTTCTTCCGGCTAAAACTAAGGTTACGCAGTCCTTAATTATATCTTTGGACTTCAATTATACAAAATTTAATATAACCTACACTATAATTTGCACCTACCGCATCATATTTGTACATCACTTGAAGGTCGACTGGGAGAGAATGCCTCATGGCATGAAGTCCGCCTTTGTACAATATGTGCATTAAGTTTTAAATAAATAAATAAATAATTGATCGTATAAGAGCCATGCTTTATCACATATGAAGCGGCTCGAACGGAGTACCATCACGGCCACAAAGAAAACCGTAATTAAAAAATTCTGAGTGAGGATATGCTTAAAACCCCCCTCTCGGGCAAACGAGCAGCTGATAGAAAGTGTCTGCCGCCGCCCATGAACTCCTGCAACTCATGAGTAACAAGCGCGTTGCCGGCCTTTGAGGAAGGAGTACGGTCTTTTCTTGAAGGTCATATCGGTCCCGAAATACCGCAGACGATAACTTGTTCCACAGATTGGTATTGTCGATTGTGGTAGGGTAGGACGACTTAAAAGGCAACAGCGCACTTGCGAGTCTTGAGTTGTAGGCCTCTATAGGCTGCGGTCTGCTCTGTTGCTCCCTATACCATTAAAAATTACTAGTATATCTTTTAACCTCTCCAGCTAAACCACATGCTGGTGTTAGGTTTGATTTCGCGTCAGTAACGTGACGACAGAATAATCTCAAGTCCTGGACATAGTGCTGTTTACGCTTTAGTTCATAGTAATAAATAAAATGTCCTATATCTTGCATTTCTTATTATACATTATGATATTTTACTTACTACACTGTTTCTACTAAGCTATTAAATAAAAGTTTTTTTAAATGCTGATCTGCAAAAACCTCTCCGCAGATGAAGGCCTCGTCCAAAGAATTTCATACGGTTCGGTCTTGGGCACTTGCATCCAGTTAGCAGCTATAAAACCCTAACTATAAACTAGGAATGGCAAATGATCGTTTAATATTCATCTCTTTTTTTCCAGAAAACGAAAAAAGACAGAAGACATTAAAATATCAACATTAGAAGCTAGTTAAAGATTTATGTACAAATACATTTTTAACAACTGACTTCTGTGATATCGACGTAGTAATCACTATGTTCGGAAACGATCGATTCGAAATCAATAAAAGTCGAGTAAACATATATTTATTATGTTACCTATTATTAAAATCTATGAAGACCTACTTGGAAGGTCTTTGATTCGAAAGCATTCGTAGGCATTTGATTAAGTAATGTAGTGATAACCAATTATTTAATTTATTATTGTAAATAAATAGTCTTAAAATTGTACATTGGTTTTCAATGCTGACGAAATGTGTTCTACTTATTTATGTATATTAAGGTACAGATAAAAAAAAAATTGTGATATATTAAAATAATATGCAATATGTATGTACACTTTTTTATTTTTACCATATTTCAAAACAATAACAATCACACTTTTAACGATATTTATTTACTAACTGCTTTTCGAACGCAAAATAAAATTTCTACAAATTTACAACAAACTCTATGAGGCCAACTTAAACAGAAGGCTGTGTAGATTTTCATCATTCATCATAATCATCAGATTACCTGAAATATCTAATTACATTGTCATTGAACACTTTTAAATACATACTCTGTTTGTGTCTTGGCGTGTCGTACGTTACGTAAATATTTATTAAATTATTTACGTATACCTTTTTACAGTGTAAAAATGTATACGTGAATAATTTAACCTTTTTTTTTTTTACGTGTGGAAATCCCCTCGGACCGTCACCCCGCCGGGGCTCTCGTTCGGCGGGGCGGTGTGTCGGACTCGAACCGACTAAAACCACACGGTGTGCCCTCTTTGCGCTTCCAGTTTAGGAGGGGTCCAGGTAGTTATCGCCTTCTGACCCCTCCCAGCGCCGGCCCGCTCCTGGCGCGGGCTCCGTCTCAAGGACCTCTCTTAGGCGACGTCCGGCACACGCGCACGCCGCCCCCTCGCGGCTGGCCAAACTAATGCGGGTGGAGGGGAGAACCCATCCCGTCCACCCGCATTAGTTTTTTCACGCCCAAATTGGGCAAAAGTCGCCCTAGGGCGGAGGCAGTGTCCACCAGCTTCGGACCAAGCTGTCGGAAGTGCTCGTCGAAGAGCCACCTACCGTCTAGGACCAGACCCAGATACCTCATCTGGGCACGGACCGGTACGAGGACCGAGCCGACCTCGATTGAGGCGCCGGCGGGTGGACCACGACGGGGCCCATGAAATAATAGGGCCTCCGTCTTATCCAGGGCCACCCGTAATCCCAACGCCTCAATGCGCCCGACCACCTGGGAAACTCCCGTGGCGGCCAGGCGTGCCGCCTCCTGGAAGTTTGCCCCCCGGGCCGTGAGTAAGGTGTTTAGGTTAAGATTACACCCAGCCCGGGGGGAGACGCCCTCGTAGGGCCCAGTCGTACCCGATGTTCCACAGGAGAGGTCCTAGGACAGACCCCTGCGGAACACCGCACGACATAGCCCTGCGTCTCAAGACGCCATCTCGGTCCTCGTACATGACGGTTCGCTCCTCAAGATAGTCTGCCACCAGCCGCCTCAGGTACTCTGGCACTTCGTGGTAGCGGAGCGCTTCCCTGATGCAGCTAAATGGCAGACTATTGAAGGCGTTGGCGATGTCCAAGGACACCGCCAACACCACTCCGCCGCAGCTCACGGCCTCCTCGGTCACGGCCCTAAGGCGCATTACGGCATCGATCGTCGAACGCCCTTCTCGGAAACCGAATTGGGCGTCCGACAGATCGGGGCCAACCTTGCAAAGGTGCCAAACGATGCGGGCAGAGAGCACCCTCTCAAAAAGTTTACCCGCCTCGTCCAGCAACACGATAGGCCTATAGGCCGCGACCGAATCGGCAGGCCGTCCCGGCTTCTGCAGCAGGACCAGCTTCCCGCATTTCCAGCGCTCAGGGAAGCGTCCGGACGCCAGGCTAGCTTCCAACACTTCCCTGAGGTGGTCCGACATGTAGTCGAGGGCTCGGGCCATCACTCGGGCTGGACCCCCCCCTGCTGTCGCACGCACGTGTTGGTGGAGCCTCTGTTGGCCAGCCTCTCTCTGGCGTCCGTCGCAGGGGAACCCCACGCAATGGACTTTGCGTTGAAGTCCCCCAGCATGAGGACGTGCCCAGACACTAGTCGCCGCATCGAGGCCTCCAAGTTGTTAAGGAAGACCTCGAAGTAGTTCAAACTCCGGTTGGGGGAGAAATATACACCATAAATGGTTATTCCCCCCCAATCGGCGGCAACATATCCAGTACCCTTGTCTCTTAGCGACAAGGGCGGGGAACGTGCCGCCGTGGAGCCGACGACTGCCACGGAGCCGTCCCGGTCACCCATCCAGTTTGGAAGGGGAGGGACAAAATAGGGCTCCGCGACTACGGCAACACCTATCGACCACTGTGCCATGGTTTGCAGGAAGAGATCCTGCGCCGCAGCACAGTGGTTCAGATTCGTCTGGACCAGGAGGTTGGAGACTTGATCCATTACTGGATCGTCTCTACAACCTCCTCCATGGGCGTCGGCGTCGACGCAATATTGACGTCGGAGGCAGCCTGGGTCGGCAGGCTAGGCCCCGGCGTTTGCCGAGAAGCGCGGGGAGGCTTGCAGCCCCCCTGCCCCATCATGTGATTGGCGGGCTTTTTAGCCGCCGCACACACGGGGCAGTGAGGGGCGGCAGAGCACTCTGCCGCCTTGTGCCCGGGTTGACCGCAGCGGAAGCACAAACCGCTGCAGTCAAAACAACTCTCGCATTTGTTGCGAGTGTGTCCCGCGGCTAGGCACTTGAAGCACCTCATCGGCCTCGCGGCCAGAACCGTGATTCTGGCGTTAACGAAGCCGACGAGAATGCCTCCGGCGTCGCCCAATACTTTGGCCGACGCCACGGGACAGCTCACCCACACTGCACCGAGGCCTCCCGGACCCGGACGGACGGTGCCGACTCTGATGGTGTCCGCGGTGCACCCAGTCTTCTCCATGACTGCATCGCGGACATCCTCCGACGTAATGGAGTCGTCCAGGCCCGAGATGCGCAGTTCTGCGCATTTGGTGGGCCTGGCGATCCTCACACCGTCCGTGGTAACCTAACCTAACAAGATTATCCCAATGCATTCATGAACTTACTAAAAACATTAAAATAAATCAAATTCTGTTGACTAAAATAAACTTGAACAAAAATAAAGGAACTCAAGAAGAAGGAAGTATCTAATTAATAACTTACCTAGAATTATTATAACACACGTTACGTTTAATTATAATCGGCCACCTTAGGAAGTCGCCTGCGTGCGAAGATTTTGGAGAATTCGTCACTCGCACAGATACAGGCCTGAGAGGCAGCGCACAGTGTTTTGTGTGCATTTCTAGAGGACTGCGACCAAATGGTGACGAGACCCGCCTTTCGGGGGTTTCGGAAAAATGCAAATTTCGATTCTTGCTTCCTCGGCCATTGGATTTTAGTCCGTAAAAGTCCAATAGACCTCTTTCCCAAAACGTGCGAAGGACATCCGTGAGGATCTTCCACGCTGTAAACAAAAACGAAAAAAAATATATGCCAAAATTGAGTTAGAAGTTTAGATGTCATTGTTTGTTAATCAAGTTAGGAACTAATAAAGTTTTTTTTTGCGTAATGAGCGTCTTGAATTCATTTGTATTGAAATAGGTTTTATCGATCTCTTCATGCAAAGTTACCACTCAAATGTAACACTTGAACATGGTATCATGTTTAAACTTGAGGAGGTTAAGCCATATTAACAACAGTTATAAACAAATTATGTTCATGTTTTAGTTCATGTTCCGTGTGGTGACGGATTAAGAATACGTAATATCACCCCCTATTCATCCCGTGGGTGTCCTAAAAGTCGACTAAGGGAGAAAACTACGCAAGACAACAGCACTGCAAAGAGAAGGAAAACTTGAAACAAACCCTATACCAACCCGTCTGGCCAGCGTGGTTTAGTAGGCCAAAACCTCCTTTCAGAGGAGAGGCTTATGTCCATCAGTGGACTATCATAGGCTGTTGATGTAATGTGATGTGATTAGTTTATTGAACTAATCACATCACATTACATCAACTTACATACACCATTATTGACGGATTATTTTTATGTTTAATAATTTTGATATCATTTTCTCACTACTAAAAGGCGAAACTTCGGGAGTATGTTTGATACTTCTTCACGCGCAAACGGCTACGTCAATTCTGATAAAAAAAATTGTGGAGGTAGCTGACGGCCTGGATTAACAAATGGGTTACTTTCAGCAGGTAAAACCACGCGGCGTAGCTAGTTCAGAATAAATGCTCAGTCGTATCAGCGTGTTTTGCTTATGATATTTACGCATTATATTAGTTCCCTCCGCATGAGAAGTTGTCTTACAAAAAATCATCTGATTAGATAGCGAATAATGTATTTTCCCACATAAATTCATAATCCATTTATTTGGCGGTTAAAGTTTGGGTTTTACACTATTCACACGCACACAATAGCCTTTAAAACAGCAGTCAATGACAAAAGGCTTTGCGACTACCTTTGAAGGGTAATACAATATTCCTATACCACCAGAATTTTTTTGCCTCGCACATTTAATCTGTGGAACAAATTATCCTCTGCAGTATTTAAGGACCGATACGACCTTCAAGAAAAAGCGTACTCCTCCGTTAAAGGGACGTGACTCCTGAACAACACACAACACGGGTGACACTCCGCTTTCTTAATCCGTCCACACACACACCACACGGGTACTCCGGTATAGTCTAAGTACTCACATTTATAGTTAAATCTTTAGCATCAACAATTTGACGTACAAAAAATCATATTTTTACCACTTTTTTTTTAGTAATGCTGCATTCAGCATTAGAAGCCTTGAGCAGATGCGTTGATCTTTATCACAGGGTGACCTCTAGTAAGGTCATCTCCTCCTACATTTTTTAGTATAATTCACGCTAAATCAGTTTTCAGATCGACTATTTTGATTGCGCTTTTATTGTTTTTTTTAGTAAAGATATGTTTTAAAAAAATTATCGTTACATTTAGCTATACTAACATGATGCTGCATTTCCCCCGTATGTTTACCCTATATATATCACACACCACACATTAACAGCCTTTAATAGTCCACTGCTGGAAACAATATATACATATTATATGCATAGGAATCACCTCGGCATGGCAATGGAAAATTTTTGTACGTACAGAACAGTACTTTATACGGATGAAAATAATTCTTACTAGTTCTTCTTTTTACAAATTTTATAAAGATCGTTAAAATTGTTAAGATGTGAAAGAGTAACTAACATACAAGTATATATTATGACTAAAATGAAATGAAACTGACTTTCTCATTTATGAAATTATTTAGGCAATTAGATTACATTACGCATACACATATATAGTCACAAATACTTATATAAAAATACGAAATATTTATATGCAAGCGTCCCTAGAAAGCTAGCACCAGCAGCTCCTTAGGCATAGAAAAAGGCCTTCTGATCACGACAAGTGTTGATTAATCCTTTACTACATAATTACTCTCAACAGTAGTAATTTAGTTTTTATAATTTGTTAATATACAAAGCAAAGAAGCTAGCATGAGTTTTGTTCAAACCACGCCTCTTTTTTACATGGCGTACACCGTTTGCGAGGATACAGTATTGAACGAGTTCTTATCATTTAGTCTTAAGAGTTTTGCGAATAGACACGTTGATTGTTATTAGACATTTTTTTTTTGTGAAATGGGGCAAGAAAATCCTCAAACGGAACATCAGACGGTTAGTTTCTGTATTTGCATCGACTTCCAGAAAGACACGTTTTACAATTGGTGTATAATGCATTTTCTGCTTTAGAACGGGACGAGTAAAGCGGGTGATGATGAAGACATATTTGAAAGAATTCTTTCACACCTGGGTGATATGGGACTATACCAGAAGCTGATATTATTGATGATGATGCCCATCGGTTACACTTGTGCGTTCACCTATTTTGTGCAAATGTTTATTACTGTTACGCCACAGAACTATTGGTGCAGAATCCCCGAGCTGGCCAATTTGAGTATGGAGTTAAGGTGAGTGCCAGATTTATTTGTTTTATTTCAAAACTAGTATTGGTAACATTGTCAGTATCTCTTTTTTTTAAATTAACTAATAGTGCGTTTACGTCTTCTAGCATTCCTAGTGCAAGCCTCAGAGCCTTAATTTCGATGTTTCAATTATTGGATCTATAGTTATGTTAAGTCTTCAAGAATGTCTCAAAAACATGTTTTTTATCATTAAAAAACTGAAGTTTCTTACAATACCATGTTTTATAAAGAAAACTATTTATCTTTATTAAATTACTAGTTGACTCGCTCAATTTTATCTGCGTTTTGCATCATTTTTCATTGATGCTCGATTCCTATTGGTCATAGCATTGTGTTATATAGCCTTTATCCTCCCTCGATATAAGTTCTATCTAACACTAAAATATTTTTTCACTTCGAACCAGTAGTGCAAGAGATTACCCCGAACATACAAACTCATAAACTTTGGCTCTTTAAAATATAAGGATAAATAATTAATAATTATTAATAAAGAAAATTTAACTACTTATTATTGGATTAATTTTTTAACGAAAAATGAACGACAAAGATAAACTGTGTCACGTATATATTTGGTTCATATGAAAATATCTATTTAAAAAACCTAAGACACTTATGCAGTTAAAGATAATACCTACGAAACATATGACGCACTTTGCCCGATACTTTTTTCGCCCTCTTACGTACGATCCAGAAAGCCTCACTCTGCCCTCTAAAAGTGGAGGATACATTTATCATCGTATAAGGAAGTTGACATCACAAAGCACGGCGCTTTCAGCAGTGCTATTCTCTAAGAAAACAGCCTTGCGTACACCCATGACGTTTCCTTCCCACTGTTGAACGAACTAAAAATTAAAAAAATAACAATTTAGTTTTTACTGTAAGTCAAATTAGATCAGTCTTGAAGCTAGAATTTATCTGTTCCATTGTAATATGTATGTTAGTATTTAGCTTGTTTTTAACTAAGTGACTTGTCACAAAATATGGAAGTCAAGGTGAGATACTGCTTTAAAATATAGTCAGAAGACAGAAATACCACTGTTTCCGAGTGAAAGCAGTCCGGAGATGAAAATAACCGACTAAACACCCTCATCAAATACGCCGATCATTGTCGAGTTCGACTCATATGCAACCATTGACAAGCCAAGAATATATAGTCATCATCATCATCAACAGCCCTTAGTAGTTCACTGCAGGATATGTTAGAAATGAGGATTTGGCCCACTGTACCAATAATATACAGTATTTTGTTATAACAAGGATAGTATTACCTATTTTAAACATTTAGGAAGTTTATTTAAAATGAATTATATTTTTAGAGCAGCATAAACACAATATGCAACGATTTCGAAAAATTAAAAACCTGTCTTAATCTTGTTTGATCGGAGAAAGCCAAAAATTCGCATGAATATTAAGTAAACTTTTAGATAATTCGACTTATCAAGTTATACATTTTTTAAAGAGGTGGTTTAAGAAACAGAACGAAACCAATAAATTATTGCACACCACTTATATCATCACTCACAGATGTTATAAATCTGTAACGAAATCCGAACTTTCATTTTATTTTCTTAAATTTTACCCTCACTAAATATTTCTTAGACAAAATTTCCCATTTAACAGGATATCGAACTATGTATGTAGATATCGTGGACGCAGAGGACTTGTTTAATTTCTCAACCAAACATCAATTTTAAGAAACTATGACCTCAAAATTGAATGCTATTAAAATCACTTATTATATACGTACATACCTTAATGTTTTGCCAAAATATTGGCATAAAAACATCGAGTATAATCTATACTAATATTATAAAGCTGGAGAGTTTTTTTGTTTGTTTGTTTGAACGCGCTAATCTCAGGAACTACTGGTCCGATTTGAAAAAATCTTTCAGTGTTAGATAGCCCATTTATCGAGGAAGGCTATAGGCTATATAGCATCACGCTAAGACCAATAGGAGCGGAGCACCAATGAAGAATGTTTCAAAAACGGAGAAAATTTATTACAATTGAGAGACGCAGACGAAGTTGCGCGGGTCAGCTAGTATTATATATTATGCATTCCTAACAAAATATAACTGGTTTACCCTGACGTTTCAAATGGTGAGTAAATTGTTATTATATAGGAAGCAATAAAGTTGGTAATGTAATAATTAATATACTTGGTTTATTAATTATGGGACTAGAATACAAATTTAATTATCAAACAATATTAGCTCGTATATTTTTGTGCATATAGTTTATTTGCCCTCTAGCTTTAAGCAACAAATTGATAAAAAATTTGGAACACAAAATTATACGTGTAGAAAGTTAAAAAATTTAATATAATTTTTCGGTAATAAATATATTTGATATCGATTATCGAGTTGTGGTATGGCAGGAATTAGGCAGCCGTTATCGATGGAGGGCCCTAGGCACGTGTCCAGAGTGCCCAGTGGGAAAGAGGGATCTGCTTCTCCCATTTCTATTCGGCAAACTAATGTTCAACAAAGTGTATTTAAATCTGAACTGGCTAAGAGCATACGATCTTAACAAAAACATCTTAACACACCTTAGTTTTTTATTGTCATAATCAACGAATTCATTATAGATTCGCTTAGCTCTAAAAAATCTCGTTCACATCATCCAAAAAAAAAAACGGCTTGATGAATGAACTTCAATTTTTTACTGCGACTGCCATAAGACCTCCACGAACAAGTACCAGGCGATGACGATGTAGAAAAAATGTTGTAGGACTTTTTAGGACTCCAATTAAAGATTACCACAGATGTAATTAAAGCAACCGGGACCGAAGACATAACGTGCTCACCTTCTGTACTATATCTTCGTGATAACTAAGCAACAATATAACTATTCGTGAAAAATAATTAACGATTTCATCTAAATGTTTTTTTGCTAAACATTTCTTTTTGGACGAAATTTTTAAGTAGATATTGTATAAGCCAGGCGCCTATTAATCTTGAACCAGCAGATCTGAATTCGGCGTAGTACTCTTCTTTCAAACTCCTTTATACATTCTTACGTATAAATGTATAAAATGATGCTGGTTCGTTAATGAAGTTTTTCTTTTTACACGCTTTATATTAGCTTCACTTGCATGTTTGTATGTTTATAACCGACTCCTTTGGGCGTGATTTTGACTGACTGAATTCGTTCAAACTTTGTAGATATATCGAGGACCGATGACAATACACTAATTAAAAAAAAAAAAGAATATGGTTTAAAAAAAACTAAAAAACACGCTTTCTATAGAAAACCAAACAAAAAAAAAGAAAATAAATTTGAAAAAAAGCGTTGGGTGCTTTTTACTATTGACAACAGGCACCCAACGCTTTTTTTTCAAATTTATTTACCTGACAACTGACTTACCCACATCTATTGACCCGGTCTATCTCCAGGTATAAAGAAAAAATAATAGCCACACTACATGGAAGTAATATATTATTTCCACGTAAAGTGGGTATTATTTTTACCGTAGAGATATTTTATTTTACCAATTTTTTGGCATGATTTATACATCATAATCTCTAAACTAAATAGCCGAAGGACGGACAAACCGATAGACAGACATGGTGAAACATGAAGGTTTCTTATTATTTATTTATTTCTTTTGAAGTGAAAAGTTCTTTAGCGGCGTTCTACACTTTTTTGTAATGGGTAAAAATATTAAACTTGCGTTAGGACACGTAAACTGATCGAAAATTCGTAAGACGAAAACTTCTTTAGCGGCGTTGTACACTTTTTTTTGTAATGGGTAAAAAATGTTAAACTCGCGTCAGGACACGTGACCTGATCGAAAATTCGTAAGACGGATGGAGAGTAGACAGCCGGCGCGGCGTAGGAGAGGAAGTATCCCCCTCTCTTTCTACGGCGCGGCGAAAATGTGTGCCTGCGCCTGCTGTTTCGTTTAGGCGGCGCAGGGCGCTTGCGCGAATGTTCGTTTTTCAGAGAGATAAACTTTTTAATGTAATATAAATTTACATGTTTGTGTACGATAGCGCAATAAATAAATATTGTATTCTACCACATAAATGATAGTATTTTTATACTGATAATTAAAGCAATTCGTGCAAAATTATTCCCTAACCATTCCATAGATCAAAAATGCACAACGTTAATATTCAAGTTTTCACTTATGCCGGCACTCCCGGAGTGCAACCCCCGTTTTGTTTACAGCGGCGGACATAATGCCAAAGGCATTCTCTTCCAGTCAAATTTTGGGTGGTGTAGAAATCAAATAAGGTAGGTGCACAGAGATTACATGTAACGCATATATATATATATACACACCTACGACCCATGACACCATGAATACACATACAATATATTTATAAATATACATATTATATTCATACATTAGAACTACTTTACAAAAATTTGAACCACAAGTCTTCCAATCGATTGACAGATAATATTCTTTAATCCTATAACCAATTACGTGTTATAAATAATAAATAATAGCTCCGAATAATCACTTAGAGATTGAAATTCCACTAAAGTTATGCTACGTTACGTAGTTAATTACGAGTATAATAGACAGCAAATTAAATGTTTTTTCTCACAAAGAACTAAGTTTAAAATTAGTTATGTTAAAAAATTTTTGGAGTGTAATTATCAGAAAAAGTTTAATTCTCTATCACGTGTATGTTGTACACGTGTCGTTGTTGTATGTTGTTTTAGGGATCTGTTGATGAGTTGACGTAAGCATATATTGTTTGGGTTGAAAACTTGTTTTTACCCGACTGCCGAGAAAGGGTTAAGTTTTTCGCACATGTTTATTTGTCAATTTCTTAATTACCTAGTATCGTTCAAATGACTTTTTATGGGTTTCGATAGTTAAGGTAGTGTTTTGTCGACTCAAACGCCCAGGTGTCTTTGGATGACTTTTTGATAGAAAATAACATGGTGGATTTTTGGCGATGAATAGTAATAGGTTCTTAAAAAAAATAAACAAACCTATCGAGTAGGGTATCAAAAACATTTTGATGTTGGGTTTTTGATTTTTGAAATGATCCTACTTGTTAATTTTTTGGCTGTTATTGGTAGAGTAGGTTTTTTGTTCAAAGTCCATTCCAGTCCAGAACAGATTGTATTTTCAAACTACTTCAAAAACACAAAAGAGGAGGTTCTCTTTTTGTGTGTTTATTAAGCGATATCTTCGTCTACCGTGGACCGATTTTCAAATACTTTTTGCAATCGAAGGGGTATACTCTCGAAGTGGTCTCTTTCCCACCAAATCAGGATCCGATGATGGGATCGAGGTAACACTCAAATTTTACAGCCCCGACTACGTGTATTTTCGTTTAGTATTATCTTATGTTGCTGAGCTGATGATGGAAGGGTCCTTGACCTTTAGGAGTTAGAGGATAACTCTTTCAATAATATAAACATGTATTCACCTTGTTTTATTCTTTCAAGATATTTGTTAGATGTTTGTGTTGGGCTACAGAGATATCGCAGTCCCCGACGAACACTATGGTAATCGCTATTACGATAGAATCGGGTTTATTAAATATTCGTTATCTACACACCCTATTACAATCATTGAATTTTTTTTATGATCGGGCGATGAATACTTTTGGATTTATCCATTCAATAATGATCTTTATGTTTTTGTTCAACGTATAACATAAGTGAAAAATTTACACGATCAATAACGCAAAAACCTATTACCAAATCTCGAAAGTCAACATTTTAGAGTAAGCGGCTATTACCATATTGTTCGAGGGAAAAATGACAGAATCAGAATCAGAATTTATACGTAGGTACCGAAATGGTTATAACACCTAAAAATGATCATCGAATAAGCATGTAATTTATGTTTACCGTAATATTAAAGTCAGTTATATCATCGAATACGATTGCAATGTCATTTTACGAATATAAAGTATATTCATATTTACCATGGAACAATATCATAATGAACGATTACTACAGCAACACCGATTTGTGATTACAGTCGAACACTATCGTAAAGTTAGTTTGCGTTAATTTTTTCCATAGCTTATTTCAGTAATGGACATTTTCACAATTTTCTTACTGATAAAGAAAATTTATGATAAAAATTTAGTAAAAATCTAGTGCAAAAAAATATTTCCTTATTTTTGATAAAAGAATCTTCTTTTTAGTCTTGATAGTATTCAAGATATTCAGTTTTTATTTGCTCCTGTAAAATTGTTATTTTCCTATTACGATTTTGTTCGTCGGGGACTGCGATATGTGCACAAGAAAGTAATGTATGAGATTACAAAATATTTAGCCAAAAAAAAAGTTTGTTACGCAATTATTTTTTGTTTGTTTAGTCACAACTTTTTCATTTGTTAACCAACTTCAAAAAATCTTTTTTTTTATTTAAATGTGTATATTTCCCGTTTGGTTTCATTCAACTGTAAAGAAAAAATGCCACTCCTAATGGTGGAAAAAAAAGTTCTGTGGATTAGAATATATTATTGTGAGCAAATGTAAATAAACTAACGGACTTATTATATTAAATTTAACATAAGCTAACATATTACAGTTTAGTAATATAAATTTTGCAGCACGTACTGTTTTAAATATTGTGTCTACTCATTACAAACGTATCTTACAACCAAAAGGTAAAATAACTCCTTTTTAAAAAAAGTTGAACTGACTTCAACCAATGCTAATAAAGAGTCAAAAAATTGAAAAAGAAAAATTTACAAATGTAATTTAAAAAAAAACAAAATATGTGCGACTTCAAACAGACTAGAAGATATCTATTGCTTTTATTAAGTCTGATTTATGCACACTTATAGCCGTGACGTAACCCAGATAAGCCTGAAACTATTCAGTTCTGAAATCATTGATAAAATGTATATTATTTTGTTAATTAGGTCATAAGTAACGTAAAAAAAATACAGTCGAATTGAGAACCTCTTCCTTTTTTTGAAGTCGGTTAAAAATCCAGAAAAAAATATCACGCTTAAGGGCTTCAGGGAAATTGCCGTCCTATATATAGGACAGTAGGACTATAGGTGGTCAAAATGGTCTTTTAATAAATCGTAATCTTATTTGTAAAAAAATTGTATTAAGTATACAAAATTCAACGAACAGTACAAGTCCGATATACAACTTGTGCAACGTAATAAGCAGCATCTTGCTAACTTGATAAAAAATACAAACAAATACAATGTCCTAAAAAAAACCGAGCAATCAATTCAATTACAACATAAAACAATAAATCAGTTAGACAATGCCGCTATGGTCATCAAAAACAAGGGTAAAAAGTATGAGTCTATACTGATACTGTCACGGATATTTACCCCGAAAAATTCAACACACACCTGTTAAATCCAGAGCAACTACAACGCGAGCTGCAGTTCATTTCAACACAATTCAGACAACTGACCAAAGATATTAACCTTACCCGTAGACAATATTCAATCTCCCCTCAAGTATGTTTACAGCATGCTTCATGTAATGGCAAGAATGATGAAAGAGTACTTCAAATTTGAAGTTAATTTACCTTTAATTAACAGAGATAGTTATAAGATTGACAAGATTTTGCCAGTTCCTGGGCAAGTTCAAAATGATATGATCAGGGTACAGCCAGCCGCTGAGTTAGTAGTCATTAATTTAAGGAAGGACGCCTTCTTTACCACTTCATTGTTAGAATCACAACTATGCTTGCACAATTAACAATCTCATTATTGTCACATCAACCGACCGATTCATCATCTACCTATCGATGAAAAGTTCTGTAAGGTTGACTATAATTTAAAAGACTGCATTGTTACAAAATCACCATGCCATGATACATGGCTGGAATTAAATGAGCTTTTCCGGTACTTTTATTTTTGCTGTAATACCTATACATAGATAATTATATGTCAAGATCAAGTTACATTGAAACAGGTGACTGGAGCTAGCATTATTGACCTAGAGTCTAAATAATAATAAAAAGTAAAGATTTTACTTAATATTCCCATGCTAACTTGGCTAATACTATTAAATCAAGCTCTAAAATTAATACGCGACAGATAGCCTAAAATCCTATATAAATCACATAGTGAATATATCGTTATCTCACTATAGAGAGTACAAAGATCCGTTCTAGTTTCTCTTGGAAAAAGAATAGAACAATTGAAATCTGCCAATACATACTCCCCTCGTGACACTCTATCTACACATTAAATTCACCAGTAAACACTCTACTAGAGCTTGTTGGGTATAACGGTTATGGTGATAGCGTACTTTTTGTATAGGCGCAGACGTGCAGCATCTTCAGTGGAAGTGTCAAATAGTATTGCCAATAGTGTAGTGTATTCGCGAAAGCAGAGCACGGCTGACCACCAGCCTAGTGAAGTGATTGTAAGTGCGTACACTGTTTATAAACGGGATAAAGCTAAGTATCCTATTGTCAAAAAGTGTAAACTTAAAATCGAAGATGTGTGACTTTTGTATCTTTTATATCAAATCATCACATACACAGCCTATAATAGTCCACTGCTGGACATAGGCCTCTCCTTAGAAAGGAGGTTTTGGCCTACTATACCATGCTGGCCAGACGGCTTGTGTCAAGTTTTCCTTCTCTTTGCAGTGCTGTTGTCCTGCGTAATCTGCTCCCTTAGTCGGCTCTCACGACACCCACGGGCCTGTATGGTGACACCGAACAATAATGTTACCTCAGCAATTTGCTTACTTTATTTATAAATCATAATGACACATTTAGTACACGATTAACGGACTCTCTCCTTTATATTTTCTTAGCTGTGGTCCGTATAATAAATTAATTTTATTAGTTAAACAGCCATATCTAGCCATATCCATTATCCAGCTTAAAAACTTCTACAACACCTGTCAACACCACGGAATTAGGTACTTATTTATAGTTATTTCAACTTTTCTCAGAAGTTAAAAAAAGTGGTTTATAAAGCTGCACCTTTAAAAAACTTTTAATAACTACTAAAAATTACACCGAAATATCTTAAGAATATAATTTTATATACTTAGCTATGTTTCATATAATTCTAAAATTGTAATTTGTATGCATGCATGTTGTAATTAGTGCCACAAGTGTATATCGGCAATATATTTCCAATTTAATTACTTATTCAGGTAGTCAAAAAGTACTTACTTATAAAATTGCCTTAAATATATAAATAAAATAAGAGTTGTAAGAAATTGCTATCATTGCAGCCATCGGTATTAAGAAAAAACACAACTATATTTTGCCCCTAATACCGCAGTACCAAAAACATATTTTCACTTGTGAACACAAAATTTAAGTGATTTTGATTGAACTCTTTAATATTACAAAGCATATAAAAACAAAGTCATAACGAAAATGAGAACTAAAACACTCATTAGCAAATCCAACGATCCATTTTTTTAAAGTTGAAGCACACTTTGGCTCACATAAACAAACATAGATTAATATTATTAGTAGAAAATATCTTAAGAAGTATTAAAACGAGTTTGTACAGTAATTTGCTTGAAATCAAATACGGTAATCATTTTCCCTTCAGGTGACACGTCTGCCTGTTTGCCAATGAGATTTTTATTCATCATCATCATCAACAGTCTTTAATGGTCCATTTCTGGACACAGGCCTCTCCTTAGAACGGGGATTTTTGACTACTATACCACGCTCGCCAGACAGGTTGACATAGGGTTTGTTTCAACTTTTCCTTCTCTTTGCAGTGCTGTTGTCCGGCGTAGTTCGTTTCTTTAGTCGGCTCTTACGACACCCATGCGATGAATAGGGGTGGTGACACTCCGTATTCTTAGTCCGTCACCACACGAATAATCATTTCGGATCAGCACGGATTTGTATTAATCTTGTTTATTTAAAAAATGTGTATATCGTTACAGAAAACAACTGTCAGCACCTGTCACCGCTACGGGTGAGTTGGCACACTGCGTGACTTTTGATACCAATTGGACCCAAGTCTTGGATACATTAACTCCGCCAGCTGATCACTCGCGCCTAATACCATGCCAACATGGCTGGGAATACGAATTAAGCGACATACCATATCCTACCATTACAACGGAGGTGAGTTCTTTTTGGACCCGATTTTGGCAAAGAATTGGAATATTCATCCAATTCTTTTTATCCTTTTACTGCGTCATTCTTGACGGGCGTGTTGGTCTACTGGTTAGTGACGTGTCGTGAGTTAGATTCCCAACTTAGAAAAATAAATGTGTGATGAGCATAATCATTTGATCAGTCTGGGTGTATCTGGGTGCATCTGTAATATATGTATGTATCTACGTGTGTGTACGTAATCTATGTGGTGATGGTCTGGTCTGGTCAGTAGGCCAAAACCTCCTTTCTAAGCAGAGTTATGCCTTTAGTAGTCCAGCAGTGGACTACTAAAGGCTGTTGATGATGATTGATGATATATGTATTTAGAAATATATACATGTAACTGTGTTTATCAGCAGTATGGTTACCTTAGTACAGGTTCTGCGTAGTTTTGATCAGACGACCTTATGTGAGATGATGGTATTATTCTTTCTTCAGTATGTGTCTTATTTTTATCCTTGTTCATGGTTTGGAGAAATAAATTTAGATAAGTTAATCTGATAATTTATGTTAAATATCCCGGTAATCTTACAAAACGGAAAAGTTTTGTGAGGATGACTGTATTTTTAAACGAATTTAAATGAAATGAAGTGCCTACAGAGGTAGATCATAGTTTTGAATAGCATTATGCCCCTATTTTGGAAGGAAATGTGACATGGTTGTGATAATCAACAAAATCTCATCTGAGTACAACATTCGATGAGACAAGTTAAAAGAAGTAGCCACTATCAGAGACTTAGGAACACATTTGGACAATTAACTTTACACATCGTTATGATAAGATAACAAACTCAGCATATCGGGCCCTTATGTTTTGTACTACGTTCCTCGAATTTAAAAAGCCATTCCCCATGATCCTTTCATACAATGGCTATGTACACAGTCATTTGAAATATTGCAGCACGATATGGAACCCAATGTACCAAGTTCACATTTACAAAATAGAACAAAACCAAACGAGACTAGTTAGACATCTGGCTTACCATTTTGAGGTTAGGAATTTAAGAACTTACGAGAATAAACTAACGCATTTCAAAGTTATATCTCTTAAAGACCGTCGTACTATCTCTGACATATTCATATACAAACTGTTCCATAACTACATTGACTGTCCAGACCTCCTCAGTAAAATAAGTATAAGTGTTCTAACTAGAATCCTACGCTACTCTCGCTCGCTATTTAAGGTCCCACGGGCCACGGAAATTTAGGGAAGCGAGTACCAATTGCTAGGATGACTCACAAATACATATCACATCAACACATCAACAGCCTTTGATAGTCCACTGCTGGACATAGGCCTCTCCTTAGAAAGAAGGTTTTGGCCTACTATACTACTATACCACGCTGGCCAGGCGGGTTGGTATAGGGTTTGTGTCATGTCCGAGGAGGTCGACGTGGGGGCTGGCCGCTTTCGCGATGCGATTACGCATGTATGCGATGCGGTCATGCCCCGCGTTCGAGGTCGTCGGCCTCCAAGGAAGGAGGTCTACTAGTGGTCCCAGGAGCTGGCGGACCTCCGTGCGGCCTGTACACGTGCCCGGAGGTCCTACACGCGCAGTCGGCGGCGTCACCGTGGAGACGGTGAGGAGGACCGGCTTCATGAGGAGTACCGACGGGCGCGGAAAACTCTGAAGCTGGCCATTAGCCGCGCCAAAGAAGAAAAAAGACAGGAGATGCTGAAGGGTCTTAATCGTGACCCCTGGGGTCGCCCTTACCGCGCGGTGCGACAAAAGCTCCGGGCGTCGGGCCCCCCCCCTTACGGAGACTCTCCAGCCCAGCTTCCTGCGAGAAGTGGTTGAGGGCCTTTTCCCACAACGGGCGGAACACACTCCTCCGTCGATGGCCTCCTTGGCCGGAGACGACGGGGAGCACGGGGAGGATAATGTTCCGCCCGTCCGGGAATCGGAGGTAGGGGCGGCTGTTCTACGGATCCGTTCCAAGAACACCGCCCCTGGGCCAGACGGGGTACCGGCCCGAGTGCTGGCCCTGGCCCTCAACCACATGGCAGACCGCCTCGGGGAGGTGTTCGACGCTAGCTTGGCGTCGGGACGCTTCCCTGAGTGCTGGAAGAGCGGGAAGCTGGTCCTATTGAGGAAGCCGGGACGGCTTGCCGATTCGGTCGCGGCCTATAGGCCCATCGTGCTGCTGGACGAGGCGGGCAAATTGTTTGAGAGGGTTCTTTCTGCCCGCATCGTCCGGCACCTCTGCAAGGTGGGCCCCGATCTGTCGGACGCCCAATTTGGTTTTCGGGCGGGGCGTTCGACAGTCGACGCCGTGTTGCGCCTGAGGGCCGTGACCGAAGAGGCCGTGAGCTGTGGCGGCGTGCTGTTGGCGGTGTCATTAGACATCGCCAACGCATTCAATAGTCTGCCATTCAGCTGCATCAGGGAAGCACTCCACTATCATGGGGTGCCAAAGTACCTGAGGCGGCTGGTGGCAGACTATTTAGAGGAGCGTACCGTCGTGTACGAGGACCGAGAAGGTAATCTGAGGTGTCGGCCCATGTCGTGCGGTGTTCCACAGGGGTCTGTTCTTGGACCCCTCTTGTGGAACATAGGGTACGACTGGGCCCTTCGCGCCGATTTCCCCCCCGGGCTGGGTGTAATCTGTTACGCAGACGATACCCTCGTGACAGCCCGGGGGGCAAACTTCCAAGAGGCGGCGCGCCTGGCCACAGGGGGAGTCTCCCTGGTGGTCGGGCGCATTGAGGCGCTGGGCTTACGGGTGGCCCTAGATAAGACGGAGGCCCTGTTATTCCATGGGCCCCGTCGTGGTCCACCCCCTGGCGCCTCAATAGTGGTCAACTCGGTCCTCGTACCGGTTCGGGCCCAGATGAAATATCTGGGCCTGATCCTCGACGGGAGGTGGCTCTTCGACGAGCACTTCCGACAGCTTGCTCCAAAGCTGGTCGGCGCTGCGTCTGCCCTAGGGCGACTTTTGCCCAATATGGGTGGACCTAGCGTTGCGACAAGACGGCTGTACACGGGGGTTGTCCGGTCAATGGCACTGTACGGTGCACCGGTGTGGGCGGCGGCTCTGACCGCCCAGAATAGGGTACGCCTCTGGCGCCCTCAGAGGGTAATGGCGGTCAGAGCCATACGCGGTTACCGCACCGTTTCGACGGAGGTGGCGTGCGCATTGGCCGGAACTCCCCCGTGGGATTTGGAGGCGGAAGTGCTCGCCGAAGTTTATCGGCGAGTGGCTGACTTCCGGGCGGAGAGCGGATTTCGCCCTCCGCCCGAGGATGTGCGCGAGTGGCGCGAAGCCGCTCGCCGAGCCACGATGGCTCGTTGGTCGTTCCGGCTGGGGACTCCACGCGCTGGCTTCGCCGCCGTGGAGGCTCTCCAGCCGGTCATCGCCGAGTGGGCAGGGCGGCAGCACGGGACCCTTTCCTTCCGGCTGACGCAGGTGCTTTCTGGGCATGGTTGCTTCGGAAAGTACCTGCACACGGTCGCTAGGAGGGAACTGAGTCCCGCCTGCCACCACTGCGACTGCAGTGAGGACTCGGCCCAGCACACGCTGGCGGTCTGCCCCGCATGGGCGGCGCAGCGCCGGGCCCTCACTGCAGTCATCGGAGTGGATCTCTCGCTACCGGCCGTAGTACGCTCCATGGCCGGTAGCGACAGTTGTTTTACCGCGGTCGCAACCTTCTGCGAGGTAGTAATCTCGCGGAAGGAGGCGGCGGAGAGGGCCCGGGAGGACGACCTCCACTCGGACCCGATCCGCCGCCGGCGAACCGGGCGGCGGAGGCCCGCCTACCACAGCCTCATGCCGCCCTGAGTGTGGCCGCGGGTGGACGGGGTGGGTTTCCCCTCCACCCGCATTAGTTGGCCAGCCGCGAGGGGGCGGCGTCCGCGTGTGCCGGACGTCGCCTAAAGAGAGGAACATTCACATTGAGACGGAGCCCGCACCAGGAGCGGGCTGGCGCTAGGAGGGGTCCGGATGTCTTAACAACAGCTGTTCCCGGATCCCTCCTGTTACAGGCGCAGAGCGGCACACCGTGTGGTTTTAGTCGGTCCGAGTCCGACACACCACCCCGCCGCAAACCCCGGAGGGGTGACGGTCCGAGGGGATTTCCACAGGTAAAAAAAAAAAAAAAAAAAAAAAAAAGGGTTTGTGTCAAGTTTTCCGTCTTTTTGCAGTGCTAGTGTCCTGCGTTGTTTTGCGGCCTTAGTCGGTTCTTACGACACCCACGGGATGAATTGGGGTAGTGACATTCCGTATTCTTAATCCGTCACTACACGGACAACTAACTAACTAACTAACAAATACATATACATCTTTTCTAATAGCCTGGCTAAATTAAAAAAAAATGTTCGTACTCATTTATTGAACACTGTTGTCGATTGCTGCTACGGATAGAGATGACCCTTACATATTTTAAGGTAGGCCATCCATCAGTGATCCAAATCAGAAGCTCATCCACATCTGGGCCCGTCTTAGCATTCCTTCCTTAAAAGAGACCACTTTGAAAGCACACAACCAGAACTTGGCAGTTCTCCTAGAACAGCAACAAATATTTCCACGAGCACTACCCACCCGCAACATACTGTGCTCATGAAAGAAATGAAAACTGAAAGAAAAATGGCGACGCCCATGCCGGGCAAATTGCCAGCGTGTGTTGTGCCGAGTCCTCACTGCAATCGCAGTGGTGATAGGCAGGACTCAATTCCCTCCTAGTGCCACGGTGCGGTAACCACTTAATTAACCACTTTTCATTAATTACGTAAGGATGATTTTGACGATTTTTGATTATCTTTATATTACTAGATAACTATCTAGTATTTAGAATATTATTATTATAATTAAAAGTAAGTTTTTAAATAATCTTAAAGTGAATAAACCTAAATCAGTTATCTTTAAACGTATAAACTTTTAAAATCTTGATCGACTAGTTTTAAATTATTTTAAAGAAAATTTTACATTTTTTAACGTAAAAGCTAACACAAATGAACATATTTAAGATTTTAAAATTTTAATAAACAAAGAAAAAATGTTAAAAAAGATGTAAATCGAAGTACAAGGAATGAAGAAAATCATTAAGCAACCGAAATAGAAATAGACTTTGAATAATAAATTTCGACTTGTAAAATATTACGTAAGAATGGGTTTTATCCTTCTCCGCCCCCAAGATAAGGGCATGTGTAAATTTTCTTAACCCTCCACCTCTCGGGTCCCTTACGTAATTAATGAATGGCCCGTCTCGTCGCGACGCTGGGTCCACCTGGCTCTTCGACGAGCACTTCCGATAGCTTGCTTCAAAGCTGGTCGGTGCTGCGACTGCCCTTAGGCGATTCTGCCCGTCGAAGGTCAAACCCAGATACTTCATCTGGGCCTGAACCGGTATAAGGACCGAGTTGACAACAATTGAGGCGGATCACGACGGGGCCTCCGTCTTATCTAAGGCCACCGGTAAGCATGCGCCCGACCACCACAGAGACTGCTCAGATGGCCAGGCGCGCCGCCTCTTGAAAGTTCGCCCCCCCGATCTATGACCAAAGCATCATCGGCGTAATACATTACACCTAGCCCGGGGGGGAAATCAGCTCGAAGGGCCCAGTCGTACCCTATGTTCCACAGTAGGGGTCCAAGAACAGACCCCTGTGGGCACCGCATGACATGGGCCCACACCTCAGATTACCATCTCGGTCCTCGTACACGACGGTACGCTAAATAGTCGGCCACTAGCCTCATCAGGTACTGTGGCAGCTGAATGTGGCTATTGAATGCATTGGCGTGGTCTAATGACACCGTCAACAGCACGGTGCCACAGCTTACCGCCTCTTCGGTCACGGCCCTCAGGTGCAACACAGTGCCGACCGTTGGGCCGACCGAATTGACCGAACCGAAAACCGAATTGGGCGTCCGACAGAACGGGGCCAACCTCGTAAAGGTAGCGGGCCAACCTCGTCCAGCAACACCATGGGCCTGTAGGCCGCGACCGAATCGGCAGGCTGTCACGGCTCTCTTAACAAGACCAGCTTCCCGCTCTTCCAGCACTCAGGGAAACGTTTGGACGCCAAGCAAGCGTCAAACACCTCCCAGAGGCGATCCGACATGTGGTCAAGAGCTCGGGTGTCAATGTTCAAATAAAATCCAATGAAATTAAACTTTAAATTTCAAAGAAACCAATTATTAGGTGTTTTTAAACTATTAGGAATAGGATTTACACAAAATAAGTCGGTCGTACACCTAGTTGCATGTTCCAATGGCGATTTCCACATACAATGAAGCAAACCCGATGTCAACGGTGGAGCAGCGGCCAACCACGCATGACGACATGCACACCTTACCTCGTAAGAGGTCTTATCCTTCCCTTTCTGTTAGAGGGAGTTGACACCCGCTCCTAAACATTCCGATAGTTAGACCCTACGGAGAAGAAGAGCCAACAAACTCCAAGGAGTCTTTTTAACATGTTTTTATTCCAGTTTTATAGGTACATAAAATTAAAGTCAAATTAAATTTAAAACCTGGTGTAACAGTAAATTCGATAACGATCAATAGACTAGAACCCTGTAATAAGTATATTAACTTATTCATTTCATAATAAAAAGTCTTTCTCCAATTTTTTATTTTTTTTCCCAATTTTTTTTCCTTTCAGTTGTGATAACATTTTTTTAAATTACAAATATTTATATTTACAGAGAGATTGGGTCTGTGAGCATAGCAGCTATGTTCCTACAGCGCAGTCAGTATTTTTTGTTGGTTCTGTAATCGGTTGTTTTACATTTGGATGGCTAGCTGATCATTTTGGAAGAGTTCCTGCTATAATAGGTAGGTCATGGCTTCTATTGTGCCCATAATTTAACTTTATGCTTATGCCCTATATATATATCTTATTGACTCTTTATAGCAAAAATAGTTATTTACCTAATTACAATCTTTAGATTTATCGCTTGATTTCTTGTAAACCATCTTTTTGAAGAAATTATCTAATATAAAGTAATAGTCGGTAGGTGCAAGGTCTGGTGAGTACCAAGCAACCAACTTTGGTCAATCGGTCGTCCCTACTGCTCCTTCACGACAACGCGCGACCCCATACTGCGCAACAGACAGTCTCCAAGCTGCAAGAGCTCGGGTTGGAAGCTCTCCCTCACCCGCCATACTCACCAGACCTTGCACCTACCGACTATTACTTTTTCTAAAATTTAGACAACTTTTTAGTGGGTAAAAAATTCAATTCCCGTGAGGCAGTACAAAATGCCTTTGAAGAGTTTGTTGCGTCCCGTCCAGCTGATTTTTACAAGAAGGGCATTAATAAACTGCCAATGCGTTGGCAAAGATGCGTCTATTGCATGGGTGATTACTTCGAATAACAGAAATAAAAAAGTTTGAAAAAATAAGTACTTTCACTTATTGCATACAAAACGGCAATTTTATAGGTAAAGACCTATTATTTAAGAATGATTCAATCATCAAAACATTTTTAAACGCTGTTTCCGGAATTGAGTTTAGTTGAGTTACGTCTTCTACCGATTGAAAACGGGTGCCACGAAGTGGTAATTTGAGTTTAGGAAAAAGAAAGAAGTCGGCTTTTGTTGAGTGTTTGGTCAAAAATTCGTTCACAATGATGGCCTTGTGCGAAGGCGCATTATCGTGGTGCAAAATCAGAGAATTTACCGTTTGACCTTCCGGCAAGAATTCCGAGTGCACAACACTGCGATAGTCAAAGAAAACAGACAACATGACTTTGACTTTTCATCGACTTTGGCGTGGTTTTTTCGGTTTCGGTTCAGTTGGAAGGCGCCACTCCGAAGCTAGTTTGCACGTTAAACTCGTAAACCCACGTCTCGTCACCAGTAACAATGCGTTTCATGAATGTTGGGTCAGAATTGACTCGTTCTATCATGTCATTAGCGACTCTCATGCGATTGAGTTTTTGGAGAAAATTCAGGTCTTTTGGGACTAGCCGAGCGGTAACATGTTTCGTACCCAAATGATTAGTTAAAATGGTACGGATCGACTCGTGAGATGCAGAAAGTTCGGCGGCTAAGTCTCCCAAAGTTGAATGAGGATTTTCTGTCACTATTTCCTTCACTTTTGCGATGTTGACTTCAGTTGCAGACGTTGATGGCCTACCAGAGCGAGGCAAATCTTGCATCACATGTCGACCGCTTTTGAACGCTTTGTACCACTGTACACTAAACTGTGCTGAAAACAGTTGCTTATGAGTGCATAAGCATCTGTTTTTGATAAAGTCGATTCACCGTAAGCCTTCTGTAATGTAATGATTTTCAGTGATTCCGAACACAAAATTCCATGGGCGATGTAAAATTTAAGACAAACTCTTTGTTCGATGTTTTTGTCCATTATGAAATTCGCAATACACACTAGATATGATATAACTAAAAACAGCACTGTATTTAATAACAGATACAACTCAAACTCCGCGCCAAAATGGAAAACAGTAGTGTCAATCTAAAAACAACAAAAAATTCATCATCCATTCCCGATACTTTTTTGACTGAATGTATAATTCGAGTGCCATACTTCTGGACATCTGAATTGGCGTGACCGCAGTGATACTACAGCCTACAGAAAACCGGTGTTTCTTTATACGCTCAAACGAGTAGACGAGTCACCTGATGGATAGCGACTACCGCTGTCCATGGACGCCCGCGACTAAAGAGTTACAAGTGCGTTGACTCTCTTTGATTAGGAGGACAACAGCTCCGCAAAGAGAAGAAAACCTGACACAAAGTCTATACCGACCCATGTGGCCAGTGTGGTATAGTAGGCCAAAACCTTCTGTCTAAGGAGAGGCCTATGTCCAGCAGTGTACTATCAAAGGCTGTTGATGATGATGATGATTATGACATGTGCACTTGGAAACTCTGGTTCTTTACGACTTTACAATATTTTTATTTGCTTTCAGTAACAAACTTGTTCGGTGGTATCTTCGGCATAGCGACTACATTTACCAGTAGTGCTTGGGACTTCATGCTGTGTAGATTTTTCGTCGGTTTATCATATGATGTATGTCTTAAAATCCTCTATGTTTTAGGTGAGAACTGAGAATATTTATTTATTTTTTGATACTTTGTGCAAAACATGAAAGTATACAATGGTGGATTTAGTGACACAGGCATTTTGTACTACTTTACCATAGAATGGTACAGAAGTGAGTAATTAGGTGCACTAGATAAGTGAACCGAAATTGATATTTTTAAATAAAACAAGGCGATACATACATACGTATTCAAACATATACATATACTTGTTAAGTTACATACATTTATATGAAAATAATATGTAGGTAGAATTCCCTCAACTATTTTCTCTTCGATTAATCGTTTCACCAAATATCGTTCTATACTTATACGATAATAATCAGAACTCTTAAGGCGAACACTGTTCTTAATTATATAGTATATATAAAAGATCTTGGGCCTTGGGTAACCTCGTTAACTCAGTGAAAATCAACACCGGTTTACTGCGAGGGTAACACTGAAGCATCCTCTATTTCTGTTTATATATTACATACTGCTTTTCAGTAGATTGACACTGGGCAGTGGACTGACTGACTGACTGATGGACTGACAGCGTTTAAGTGGATTTACTGTATTTCATACTCCTCCAATTTTATTCTGATTAATTTCTTCCTGGGACTTCCCGAGTGTCATAACTCGGTGTGTTCGTGAGTCACTGCTGTGGATCCTGATGTACAGGAGTTACAATGGTGGGCGTGTGGATGGGATTAGTCCCAATTAAAATAATACTGCTTTTCACAACAGAGTTTTTTTTTTCAGTCCTTGAATACGTTGGGCTCAAATATCGCACATTGATAGCTAGTTTATCGTTGGCGTTCTCCTTCGCCACTGGGGGCATAGTTCTACCTTGGATTGTACTTTACATCGGTGACTGGCGTATATTGATGTGGGTTACCTCAGCACCGATGTTTATCGTGCTGTTGGCGCCGTGGTTTTTACCCGAAAGTGTAAGGTTAGATATATTTTGCAGCTTGCTTTTCGCAACACACGCTTCTTTTAATAATTGAGACCAACTCTTTAACTTTAATTCATCATCTGCCTACCGCCTCATCATCTGCCTGCCGACGCAGTATGTATGATTTTTCCATTCTACTCTGTCATGCGTCATCTCACTGTTTACTCCCTTCCTAGCCATATCCTCCCTGACGCAGTCCATCCACCTCTTCTTCGGTCTACCTCTTCTCTTGTACCCTTCAACTCTCATACCTAAAACTTTCTTCGCCACATTTTCCTCATCCCTCCGCATGACATGTCCATACCAAGATAACCTATTACTTCTTAACTTTTCATCCAGTGGCGCTACTTTCAGACTCCCTCGTATATACTCATTCCTAACCTTGTCCATCTGAGTCACACCACACATCCATCTCAGCATTCGCATTTCGGCTACGTTCAGGCGTCTCTCACCCGTTCTCTTAATGGGCCAACTTTCAGAGCCATACAGGACGGCAGGTCTGATAATAGTTTTATAAATTTGTCCCTTCAGTGTTAAGGGGAAACTGGGGTCACAAGTTGTTCCCGTTAACTGCCGCCACTCTTTAACTTTAATTGAAGTATACAATTAAAATATTGTTTTGTGTAGTATTTGTGATTTCATCATCATTATCAGAATCCTATCGCAATTCACTGCTGGACATGAGCTTTTCCAATTACACGCCACTTAGATCGATCCTCTTCTTCTCGCATCCTTGTTTCTTCTTTCTTGTTTTCTTTGTTTTTAGATGGTTAATTCTTGTTTTTAGATGGTTAATAAGTAGAGGGAAAGTGGACGAAGCTGTTACAGTATTGCACAAGTTTGAGAGAATTAATGGAAAGAAGATTCCTGATGAAACCATGAATGAGTTCACGGTAAACTGAACAAGAGATTTTTTATCCTAAACGGAGAATTTTCGTCCAGTAACTATATTTGTAAACAAATATACATTAATAAAAGTTATGAATTTGAAGTATACAGTGTTCAAGGCAATTTATAAAAAAAAAAACTCAGTCATAACTCCGAACGGTTTAAATTTCTTAGATTTTTTTCAAATTTTATTTTTGTGTGGACCAACACTTTGTGTGTGGCACAACTTGTCGTATCCTCACCAGGGTCATACACTGAGGTATTGTACGGCCCTAGAGTTAACCGACGAAAACCACACAGTGTAGCGTCACAAATGAGTCTATTTGGGGGGGCCCAGGATACTCTTACAAGAAAGCTACCGAGATCCCATACATCTGAGGGAACATCGCGCGGTTTTAGTCGGTTCGAGTTTAAAATACCACTTGACTCTCGGCTCTCTGAGATACGATAAAAAAAAATACCGATATGCTATTAATATTACTCCTTTTCACAGGTATTCGCGCACAAATTAAAACTGCAAGAGAGGCGCTCACTTTTAGACATGTGTAAGAGTTCACAACTGCGGAAGGCAATGATAATTTTAATTTTATTGTTCATGGGATGTGGCATAGTTTTCGATGGCTTGATACGTCTGTCCGACTCATTCGGATTGAATTTCTTTGCCGTTTTTAGCTGTAACGAGGTTTCCGAATGTACGGCTATTTTACTAATTATTGTTATTCTTGATAGGTGAGTAAATTGTTTTAAAAGTCTTTATCATAATAGTCATATTATAATACATTTACGACACGTGACTGCATGTTTTGTGGGTTCGAAGCCTCTTGTCTTGTCAATTTACAAATTCAGTAGGCCGTCACTCGTTTTCGGTTAGGCAGTATATCGAATCAAACTAATTGAAACCACACAGTGTGTCATACTGCACCATTGGGGATTCGAACCCAACAGTAAGGACGCGATGAGCAGTAGTTGTAATAATTGTTTGTTTCTAGAACTTTCTTGTTTGATTAGGCAATGGTTTTGTGTGCTCCTATCAAACAAACAAAAAAATGCTTTAGAATTTAGAAGCTGCTCTTCTGCTTTTACGTTTTTTTCTGTAACTATTCTTTTTTTATTTGTAGGTTCGGCAGAAGGACCTCCACGTTTAGCACCGCTCTTATATCCAGTATATGTTTGATAATTGCTCTCTTTATTTCTGGAGGTAAAGCTTTTTTCATACCATATTCATATTACGAGTATATGTAACGATAAAGTATCATGGGTATGTATTTATAATTAAATTATACGAAGAAATGGGTCCTTTATTAATCTAATATCATATCTCGAGTGATCATATCTCGAGGACTGTAGCAAAATGGTTATTGCTGGAAAGAGTCATTCATACATACTAGTCAGCGGGAGTATATTTATTGTGCGATTTAGTAAATGCGTAACAAACAAACAAACTCACTTTTACATAAATAACATATGTATGGATTCTGTTTGGGTTTGCAGGTGTACCTCAGGCAGTTCTAGCAATAGCGTCACGTCTATTTATGACCACGTGCTTCACATCTATCTTGCAATGGAGCACGGAGATTATACCGACACCCTATCGGGCTTCAGGAGTTTCCATTTTACACATGAGTACATTTCTGGTGGCTATTTTGTCCCCATTTATTGTATATTCGGTAAGTTTTATTTCTATGTTATGGTCTAGGCAATCAATAAAAAGCCGGAGGTCGTGAGTTCAATTCCAACCCAGGACTAATAATTGTGTGATGAGCAGGATCATACACACACACATATTTCTAAATACGTACCTGTTATAGATAAACTTCAACTAGACACAAAACAAATGATCGTTCTCGAAGTATCACTGACTAGAACTACAGGACCTCATTTTAATATCTTTGTTATATGCATTCTTATAATTTCACTCTAAATACTTACTTAAATATTTACAGGAGCGTCTATGGAGCTCTTTACCATTGACGATATTCGCCACAATTGCAGTCGCGACAACAGGTCTTTGCCTGACATTACCAGAGACAAAAGGATTGCCAATGCCACAGACAAGGGCTGATGGCGAAAGGAACATCAAGGAACACTGTTTATTCGGGTTAGTTTAACTAGTGATAATATTTATTTATAGTCCCTATTATTATTACAATGAACTGCATAATCTCTATAGTTATGATGCCACGGTGACACTGATACACCTTAAATTTATAATAACGCTAATTTTTGCATCGATGGTTAATTTTTTTAGGCAATTTTAACACTTATGATTATGTACTTGTGATGTCCGTGTGGTGTCGGATTAAGAATACGGAGTGTCACTACCCCTTTTTTTTTTTTTTTTTTCCGTGCGGAAATCCCCTCGGATACCCCCTGTCGGTGGCATGTCGGACTCGAACCGACTAAAACCGCACTCCGTCTCGGGTACTAATAGCCGGGGAACCAGGTATACCCTAGAAAGGAAGTCCCTGGTACAGTGTCACCACCCCTATTCATTCCGTAGGTGTCGTAAGAGGCGACTAAGGGAGCAAACTACGCAGGACAATAGCACTGCAAAGAGAAGGAAAACTTGAACGCGTCTGGCCAGCGTGGTATAGTAGGCCAAAACCTGCATTCTAAGGAGAGGCCTATGTCCAGCAGTGGACTATTAAAGGCTGTTGTTAATGTTGTTGTTGACTTGTGATCACGGGACTACATTTCTTTAAGTTATTTGAAATATAATATAAGCTCCATCGAATATATGGCAAAGAAAACTGTTTGTAAAATTGTTTACTGATTCTATTGCACCTCGTTAATCAACACTAAACACAGTAAAAAAACTTGGTTGTTTATGTCATAATTTTTTTCAATACTTGTAAAAATGTTTTTGTTGTAACAGGCATAAAAAGGAAAAAACAACATCTCCTAGCTAAAGGCAGTGGATGGAACAGTAGAAGTGGAAAGTTTTTTGCTGATGCCGCCGTGATGAACTACTGTTTCAGCGTTTTTTAAATTATGATCTGTGTGCAATAAAACTGAGATAATCTGAAACCTGAATCTTTGTTCCGAGGGATGACAATAATAATAATATTTTTGGACTTCTGACACCACAAAACGCACATAATTTAAGGTTGGCATCACACTAATATTGAGTGTTTGTGTGTGTTTGTTTGTTTCTTACTTCTTTACGCTCAAACGGCCGGACCAATTTTGATAAATTTGGCAAGGAAGTAACTGACACTTTGGATAAACACATAGACTATTTTTATCCCTAAAAATGTGGTGTTCAAGTGGGATGAGCAATTAATTACAAGATATATATTATAGAATATTTTACTAACCAGTTAAATAACGTTTTAGTGTATATGATAAATCCGGGTAACACTGCGGGGCGCAGCTAATGGTTTAATAAGGACAACATTATTAAAGAGGTGCAAGGGATATGTTGTAGTAAAACTAATAATGGTAATAATAGTTTCACGAATCCCGAACCCGAACTAGGCAGTAAAACTAGTAGATCCCGAACTAGGCAGAGCCATACTGCTGATAAGTATCTTACTAATATTTTAAAGGCGAAAGTTTGTAAGGATGTATGGCTGTTTGTTACTCTGTCGCGTAAAAACAGTTGGACAGATCTGGATGAAACATGGCACAGTGATAGATTATAGTATGGAAGAGCACATAGGTTGCTTTTTATTCCGAATATATGTAGTATTCTCGTGGAATGAGTACGATACCACAACAAACGTCGGTAACAACGCGGGGCGCAGTTAAAGTATATCCAGATACAAGACAACTGAAAACGCTCATAACACTTGTTTTTTTATAGACAACTCTCTCGCTGCGAATACCTGTATCTTGTGTCGGTCTGGCTGATATATTTACCAACTAAAATTATCTTCAGTTTTGTTGTTTTTTTAGTAATTTTACAGCACAACATTCATTTTAAAAAAAATCAGTTCAAAAAATCTTTTTGTCTCCACCTTATCAAATAGTCGCGGGTCGGACTGATTTCTAGTAGTGTTTCCACTACATACTCTTCGCCCCTGCGTCCCTAAGGAGACGGGGATCCGATGGGGTTTTCCACACTGTCAACATAAGAAAAGAAGTCATGTACGAGATGTATTAGGAGACGAATTGTAAATATCAAACTCGTGAGTATGATGTGTGAAATGAGCTTACACTTGAATTATATTAACTGCAAAAAACATTAAATGTTAATAGACTGCAGTAGTAGCATCTACTGCTTTTTCATCCTATTTTGGTTTGGATATGAAAAACTGTAAAATATATTTACTGATATAACTCACTAACAAACTATATAGTAACTACTCACGCGATTTTTCAAACTCTGCGGGACAACAGCACTGCAAAGAGAAGAAAAACTTAAAACAAACCATATACCAACCCGTCTGGCCAGCTTGGTATAGTAGGCAAACCCTAATTTCTAAGGAGAGGTCTATGTTTAGGTTTCGCAAATAATTTTTATTTACTCAGTCAGAGTCCATAGTGTTAGTGTACAGTTTTTCTTAACCTATGTTAGTAGTCAACAGTGTTACTATTACTATTTGTTGTTAAGATTAATGTAGAAACGTTCTGACCAGGCTTTTCATTACAATCGAGTCATATTATTCGGCTATGATTCTTAGGATGCTATTGTTATGACAGATGTATAATTCCTATATGTACATCCCAGCTATTGCCCGCGGCTTCTCCCACGTAATTATTTTTTAGTTTGTGTTGGAACTTTGAAAATGACGAACTTGAATTTTCACACAACCGTTTACCGCTCATTTTAACCCCTTAATGGTGAAAATTTTAAAATTTCTTTCTCAGTGGGTGCTACCATAAAAAACATCAGCTGCAAAAACTTCAAGTTTATGGCCACAGATGTTCAGGTTCTGCATTGATGACTAAGTCGGTGAGTCAGGGAAAATAATGTTACATGTTATCTGTATTTGAGTGTTAAATTGAATTTTTGTTCTTGGAGTAGAAAGATGTAACCTTAAAATTTGATCTTAATAACCTCCGAACATTAACCAGGGGTGAAAGTTGTATATCGGGGTACCAGGGACTTCCTTTCTAGGGTATACCTGGTTCCCCGGCTATTAGTACCCGAGACGGCGTGCGGTTTTAGTCGGTTCGAGTCCGACATGCCACCGATGTCCGACAGCACGAAAAAAAAAAAAAAAAAAAAAAGGGGTGAAAGTTGTAAATTACGTCTAAGTCTGTCTACTTACGTCGTCTAAGTGAAGGAATTTTGCAATTTGTATTACATTAGAAAGGAGTGAGTGAATAAGAGTGTGTGATAATCATACCGAGGAGTTTTGGAACTAGCTCCATATACCAAGGTATTTAAAAGAGCTTTTTCAAGCAATTTACCTTTTTTTTAATGGTTATTATCTTATTAAATTCATCATTATCAACAAAAGCCTTTAACAGTCCATTGCTGGACATAGACCTCTCCTTGGAAATTAGGGTTTTGGCGTACTATACCTCGCTGGCCAGACGGGTTGGTATAGGATTTGTGTCAAGTTTTCCTTCTCTTTGCAGTGCTGTTGTCCCACGGAGTTTATTGTCCTTATTCAATTAGTATTTAAAAAAAAAAACTATCAGTCTTACAACATCAATTGACACAGTGTTAGACTTTGTGCACTTGAGAACTCGTATTTAATTGTTAGTGTTTTAGTGGTAATTTTTCTAGGTTGCTCTATTGGTTTGCTTATCTATTTGTGTGTTATTAACATTTTGAAAGGCTTTTTATCAATCGAAACACTTGACTGTTCTTTTGTTCCTCATAAATTAAATGCGTTTTTAAACCACTGCGACGTTTCATGCCAATATGGTTTAGCTGGTTCCTAAGTAAAGGTTCTATAATCTGGAAACTAAGGTCTTATGGTTATTCACTTCATGATTTTGATTTAGCTTTTTTTTTTCATTAAAGTGTTCTGACTATTTTAATTTACATTTTTTTGTGTTTCCACTGAAGTATCTATGTATAACTAAAGTGTGAATACTGAAGTATAAATCAGTTGACTGAGAAGAAGTCTCAAGAAACTCAGCCAGGCTTTTTTCATATCTTATCTATAATATAAATATAAATAAATAAATAATACTTAAAGACTTTCAAAGAATTTCATAATCTGTCTATTTGTAATTCTATAGAAATATTATAATGCTGGAGAGTTTTTGAGTAATTTATTTCTAGCTATGTAAAATAATAACAATGCACTTTATTCTAAACAGGGCCTCAATTCTGCTATTTTATGTTAACGCCAAGCCACTGTCATTCCATTGACACGCTATTGAGACGCCATTAAGACGCCATTGACATCGGTCAAAATATCAGTGTTTTGATAACATAAATTCACAGTGTCAATAGACTGTCGATATAGTAATATAGGTCATCAATGGTGATATCAACAACATTGCCATACCTGGAAAATTAAATATATCATTTTCTAACAAATTGAAAATGTACCGTTTACCAAACCATTACAAAGACATTGACGATATTTGTATCACTGACAAGTCGTCAAGGTCATTGGTCTTACATAGTTAGTAGAATAGGAAAAGTGCAAAACTATTCCGACGACATTCCATCGACAGTCTATTGATACAATATTAAAATAGCAGAATTGAGGCCCTGGTTGTACCTGCTTAAAGCAACACAACTCTCTAGAGTTAGGAGAGGCTGGTAATTTGTCATACAGGTCTACGAACCCAGTATAGATACGAGTACTAGTCTCTCATACAGACTCACTCAAAATAACCTAGATTTATTGTTTATTGTAACCATATTTGTGTGAGACGCGTTTACGCCTAAACCACTAAACCGAATTTAAAAATTATTTCATCATTGAAAAGTTACATTATGAGTGAGTAACACAGGCTACTTTTTAGGGCGATATTTGGTGATATGTCGGTCATACAGGCGGGCGGAGCCACGGGCAATAGCTGGTATATAATAATGTTGAAATATTTAATCCTGAGAACTTAAGACTATACTTTTAATAACTCGGAAGACATAAATATAATTTATTAGTTTTATGAAACGCAAATATCCATCTATGTTAATAAATTATTGTTCGGGTACAAATATAGCGTTCTTTTATTTAAACAGCTATTTGTTCTATTTATATAGTATTAAAAAAAACGAAAATCGATCTAAGTGACGTGCAATGGGAGAGGCCTATGTCCAGCAGTGGACTGCGATAGGCTGATGATTATGATGATGGTATAGTATTTAGTTACTGGCCTGTTGTCATAACGACTATTAATCCTGACTACTAAGCCAGTCGTGAGTTCGATTTCATCTCAGGACAAATATTGTGTGATGGGCACGATCATTTGTTCTGTGTTTGGGTGTAGTTTATCAATATTATGTATGTTTGTAGAGATATATTATATATAGAACTAGGTTAAAAATTTGCAAAGTTTAGCAATCCTAGCCAGGTCAACCTATGGATAGGTGGATGGTGTGATGGATGGACTTCTCACTGTAAGAATACAAACAACTTTTAGTAGAAACTTGCAACGCCTGGAATTAGTTATAGGTGAGCTGTTATCACTTTTGCGTCTAGCATTTTTTCAGGCTCTTTATAGCTGATGCGGCTGTTCACCTCTCAAGAAGCCTGCGAAATAAGGACTGCATAACTTCATATAAATGTCATTTATTTATGTTCAAAACGGATTTTTTTTCGATCTAGCTGTGGGTACAATAAGGCAGTGAGTTAGTTTCCTAGATATTTTCTTTCTTGCAAACCTAAGGAGTGGGGAATCTTTCGGTTCGTCGTAATTCTATATCTGTATTAAGCTATATCTATCTGTCAAAATCGAAAAATATTAGTAGTAGTAGTAATAATATTAGTACCCTAAAATGTGCGCCAACATATTCTTAAACCACTTGAAAGGGTGTGTCCCAAAAAAAAGA